GTAAAATAAGCATTTCCCTTGTTTATTTTTCTTAATTTATTAATTAAAATCCAAATAAATTGAAAAAGCGCTATTTACATAATAGAATACAGAACGAACTAATTATCGCCCGTAAACAAGCAATATAGTAAGTCGTACAATATTAAGTTCTCGTCAAATAGCGCGATCAATATTGTGATTAACCGTACTTTGATCTTTAACGCCTTTTTGAAAAATCTGATTTTAATTATTATTTACTTCTTATTGTGGTCAAGATAATATTGAAATCAATTCATTGAAAATAAATATTTTTTTTACAAAGAAATAAACATTTCTCAATGCTTACATAACTAGTTAGTCGACAAATATACATGGACACGGCATGATTTTTGATGAGTCTCTTGAGCCTATTTGTAATTGATTAATTTTAAATTTCTGCAAATAAAAAAGTTGAATAATTGGCAAGTTTGTCAGACATTGAATCATTGGAAACATAAGGAAAAAAATTGTAATTATAATTTAAGCCATTCCATGCTGCCATTTTTGTTCAATCGTATCCCCCTTTCTGCATATCATGATAGCCAATCCAATCAAATTATACGACTCACATACATGTACATCGTCTAATAGAATGAACAAAATCCGGTTTTTTAATCGGAAAATTACCTTACAAATAATTATTTTTGATGTAAAAAAAATTAAGTATTGCATATATTTAGTTACAGAAATATCATTCTCCGTTTTTTTCTTCAAAGTCTATGAAATAATATTGATGAAGGATATGGAAATAACGAACAGTATTCAATCTCAACGTCCATTAAACAAATATACAAAATAAGAGCAGAGCAAACACGGACCTCCGAAACATCAGAGGTGGGATCAGGTGCCATGGAGGAGTGAGCATCCCCTGCCGACCGGTCACACCCGCCGTGTGCTCGTTGTCATAATCAGGAAATAACGGAAAAAATCCGTGGTCAATTCAGTGTATAAATAATGGACTAACAATTGGTATGAAAAACGTCAGTCAGCATTTCATTCAATGATAAATTGTATTTGCTGACAAGGTCATTGTATCGACCATAGAATTTACGAAATGATGACTTTAAACGAGACTGTTGATATTCTTGTTTCATCAACTTGCTTGTCAATAGTTTACCTCGTTTAAGAAATTGTTCATACGTAGAGCATGCTCTTGCGTATCGAATCAACTGAGATATAAATACTCCGTATGCAGGTGATGAAGGTATATTGCTGCATAAGTAAGGGAAGTTGACGATAGAAAAGTTAAAGTCATCACGTTTATCATATAGCTTGGTTGTTAGATTACCATTAGTGTCTTTTTCAAGTAAAATATCCAAGTATGAAGCAGAAGTGTCGGATTCTGTGGTATCTTTTATCTCAAGCTCACCAGGATATATCGTGTCGACGTAGGAATGGAAATTATCATTATTAATTGACAATACGTCGTCGATATATCTAAATGTCGAGTTGAAGGCCACAGCAAGTGTTTTCTTCTTTTCACGCAAAAGATTTTGCATAAATTCTGCTTCATATGAATATAAAAATAAGTCTGCTAATAACGGAGCGCAATTTGTACCCATGGGAATTCCAATAGATTGTTGGAATACCTGGTCTCCAAAAACCACATAGATATTGTCAATCAGAAACTCAAGCATCTTCTTGATGTCAACTTCAGAGTACTTATGTGTGCAATCAGAATCTGTTTTAACAAAATAATTTTTCAAATGACCAATGACGAGGTAAGTAAACTTACGAGTTCCATTTTTGTTGAAGAAGCAGCTGTCAATGATATCAAAAAGCCTGGATTTTAATTTGTCGTGGGGAATTGTTGTGTATAAAGTTGAAAAGTCGTAAGTTTTTATGCTGTTGATTTTTGTTAAGTCTTGTGATTTCAAATTGTCCAAAAGTTCTTTAGAATTTTTAAGTATCCACATCTGATTTACACCACTTCTTGAATATATAGTTGTACAGTACTCTTGAAGTTTTTCCTTCACTTCTGTCAATATTTTAGTGAGAAGTAACGAAAGAGGCTTGGTTGAACATTTACTGGAACCTGCAATGTATCTTTGTTTGTAAGGATTCTTATGAAGTTTCGGAATCCAATATATATAAGGTAGTTCAAATTCATTTTGGCTCTGTGGAATATTAAAAGTATTCAAAACTGACAGGTGATTTTGAAGAATTTCTTCCTTAGAAAGAGAGGTATATGTATAAGTAGGATTACCACTTGTAGAATTAAATCCAAGTTCTTCTAGAATGCAATTTATATAATGAGCCTTACAAACGAAGACAATGTTGTTACCTGCTTTGTCGGCAGGAACCAGTACGTACTGAACGTGTAATCTATCTAATTCTTTTTTCACTTCTGGTTTATTGAACACAGAAGGATAGATGGTTTTCATTTTGCCCCTCAATCTTTTAATACGTGACTTTAACATGGATCTGATACATTTAATCCATTCTGACAAGGTGTCAATATCTTCTTTTTCATATCTAGCCCATCGTCTGGCGTAATTTTCAACAGAATCCATAATATTTATGAAATTCCGTCGCCAGTTGAAGGATCGGGGTTCCCTATATTTAGGACCTTTTAAAATAAGTGATCTAAGGTTCTCATTACGAACTATTTTAACGTCACCTGTAATAACGTGTCCAGCAGGACTATAGTTATAGGGCGAAGAAGAACATGAACACGAAGGGGGATTATTTTTCAGATAGTCGATATCCAGGCCATGTAAAGTGTTTTTGTAATTGAAAAGTTTGGAAGCAATGGTCGATGTATATTTGTAGGAAATACAAGGCGTAGTCTTTAACTTGAAATATGGTGGAATACAAGACTGGACCCTTTTGTGATTAAGAATATTACTTATATTAACCGCGTCAATTCCTTTATTGGCATATTGAAGTTTAAGGAAAAGACGGATAGTTTTAGCTGCATTTTCTTCCGTGAAACGTGCGGGTTTAAAAAGCCTATGATGTGCAATATCCATAATCACAGAACCGAGCCTATATTCAGGTGTCGAGGAATCTAAATTTGGATGTTCCTTGGTCTTTTCAAGAAGACTATTTAAAAGTTTCAAAGGGACAGAGTAAAGTTTGGTTCGATAATTCTTTGAAATCTTAAATAAGTATTAAGCCGTATTTCGTTTTGAAAATATTGAATCCTAAATATTTTGAACTATTTTGAGTGAAGAATAGTGCGTTTGCGTTAACAATCGTGTAGCGTGTAGAATCGTGAACGTGAAAGATCGTTCGTGTAACAGGTTTAATCGTGCGTTAATCGTGCGGAATCGTTCGTGTAACGTGATCGTTCGTGTAAGTTGTCAACAATAACGTTCCAGCCACTGTATATTGTTTTCGTCCTGTCTGTCTGTCTGTCTTTCTGTTTGTCTGCAAACTGTAACCTTCGCCATAACTTTTGAACCATGAGAGATAGGGACTTCATATTTGTTATGCATACTCCACTAATGAAGATCTTTCCACTGACACTAAGGTCAATGACCTTGTGACCTTGACTGTGACCTATATGCTAAAAATAGCTTTTTTCTACAAACTTTAACCTTCGCCGTAACTTTTGAACCATGAAAGGTAGAGACTTCATATTTAGTATGAAAACTCCACTAATAAAACTCTTTCCAATGATACCAATGTCAATGACCTTCTGACCTTGACTGTGACCTACATGCTAAAAATAGCTTTTTTGTCTTCAAACTATAACCTTCGCCATAACTTTTGAACCATGAAAGATAGAGACCTCATATTTGGTATGTTTACTTCACTCATTAAGCTCGTTTGAATGACACCAAGGTCATTGACCTTGTGACCTTGAGTATGACCTATGTGCTAAAAATAGCTTTTTGAACCTTAACCATAACTCTTGAACCATGAGAGATAGGGACTTCATGTTTGGTATGCTTACTCCACTAATCAAGTTCTTTCAAATGATACCAAGGTCAATGACCTTGTGACCTTGATATTGACCTTTACGCTAAAAATAGCTTTTTTCGAACTTTGTGCCGCTGGGCGCATAGTGTTTCACAAACACATCTTGTTAAAAGCTGTTTTCCAACGGAAATGGAATTCGCAATTACGTACCTTGTCATCGATCATTTGCAAACTTATTTTGTTTAAAACATTCTGATTGTCCGCACAAGAGCTCTGAAGTAGATATTAAAAGGACGCTTCAGTTTATGATTGACAATATCTTTATGAGTTTTTTTTATTTCGGACATCAGATCTAAAACAATCTGTCCAAATTCCCATACTTATTGTTCCCCGTTGTTAGAAGACCTATTTCTGTATTCATTTTAAGCAGAACGTATTCAAAATCTTGTACATGAAAGGAAGAAAATTCTACTCGACATTTGGATATATCGACAACCGACGACGTATTATCAATTAACAATAGTTACTTCCATTCATATGTCGACACGATATATCTCGGTGAACTTAAAATAAAAAATACTATAGAGTATATCCCAACTGTTCAATATTTTGATGTTTTACTATGTGCTCAATACGGACAACAATGGTCAGTTTACAACATAATAATATACTAAAGACGAGATGACTTCAGTTTTTTCATCTTCATATTCCTTAATTATGCAGTAATCTCTCTGCATCAGTTAATATTTATAGGGACTTTTGATAGACTATATAACAAAGCCTTTATTGGGTCGTAATTTGGTATGACTTGTTTCATGCCTACTCTTCTTTTTGTAACAAATTTTACTACGGAATGTTCCGTCTACTGGATCAATGATAGGATTCACGGCGGATGTGGCAGCCAACAGGGGATGCTTAGTCCTCCTAGCCATCTGATCCCACCTCTGGTAGTTATGAAGGTCCGTATCACATATAAGTATTGTTTGAGAATTCTGTGAGATCACTTTTCGTTATCTTTACCTAGAAAATAACATTAATAAAGAAAACTGGAAAAACCTGCTTCCGTGTCTTACGTAATTCTGTACAGAATACGTTTTCCCCCAAAGAGTTTACCTCTCATGTCATCTGTTGGTTTTTATCTCGTGAGTAATTAATTTTGAATAAATTCTTCCTTCTCTGTGACAGCGTTTGTTTAGGAAATGTAAACATGCCTCAATAATGATACTACTCTTAAAAATGTGCAATTGAAGTCACTCACATATCGGTTACATTTGAGATACACATAAATAGAGAAAATTTCCAGTACCACATCCAGAGAAAATGGATTTAAGATACTTTACAGTTCTGATTCTTTGGGGCTGTGCGAATGCAAAGGGACCCAGGGGTAGGTTGAAATAATCTATTTCACAAAGTTAACGCATTTTCCTTTAAAATCAATGGTAATTTAAAATGATTTTTTGTTAATTATTGATAAGTTTATTAAGACTAAGTTATAAGACTGAATATTGTTTATGATGACAGAGGTGGTTCTCGATATTAACAAACTAACCGCTTACATTGGGGAGCCGGGGCTACAAATAAGATGTCACGCTGATGGTAAGAGAGTGGTGAAGCCAACGTGGATGTCCATAGAATTCAATGGATTTCAAAGTCAGCGGCCAATGGTCTACCTGTTTAGGAAGGACGATAAAGATGTTATTGAGTGGGGTCAGGAGTTCAATGTCACACGGCTGCAGAGTCACATCAAGGTCACAGGTCATCTGGAACAATCCATATCCTTCCTTCAGCTGGATTTCAGTCACGTGATGTGTGGGGATGGAGGGCGGTACACGTGTTCTTACGCAGGCCTTGACAAACAGGGAAAGCTAAGAACATTTTCAATGGCAGGGGACTTTGTTGCTAAAGGTGTGTTACGTTTTCAAATCAAAAACATCAACAAGTTCCTTATTTATATTTGAAACTCAATCCGCAGTTGATTTATTAACCACTAGTGTTCATTACAGGTGGAGTTCGTGAAAAGTTTAGAATTTTCTCAGTATTTACAAACAAGTTAACTAATCTACGAGTATTTCATCCAACTGATATCTAATAATCTTACACCTGTTGCCATATACCTGTCACAATGCACAGATTTTTTCTTTGAATAATTAATAATTTTTCTGAAATTCGATACTGTAGTATCAATTTATCTATCAGATTCTCACAATGCAATCCTTTTGAAACACGTTATAACATATTGATCGTCTCAAATAGCATCATGCACTCAAATGTGTTCTTTAAAGGAAATTTAAAAAAAACAACAAAATATGAAAGTTTAACTACCAGTTAGGGAAAATTGGTGAAAAAAGTACACCAAAATTTATTTTTTAAATTACACTACGTGTATTGAAGTGTGTCTGAAAACACGTCGCTCTGTTCTATATGAAGAAATCGGTACATCACTGGTAACCCCGAAATGTAAGAGAGGTCAAAAAAGTTACAGCTTGTTGGATTCCGGTAGCGGACATTTCATGTTTTTGATTCCTTTGTAGCTATGGATGGCGGCCCTCCGAAAGTAACCTTAAATGGGAAGCTTGTGAAATCTTTCGACTCGATAAAGGCATCTCCAGGAGACAAACTTCACTTTGTTTGTGAGGGCGATGTTGGTAAACCACGCATTCCTATACTTTGGTTTTTAAATGAATTACTAAAGCCACAGAGAGTACTGGGCAAGAAGGATGGGGTCAGACAAGGTCACTAATTAATGCTATCTATTTTTCTATTCTTCCACTCCATCACATTTCAAGAATTATTAATTATATTTTCTTATCTGAATAAATCTCTTTTATTTCATAGTAAATATTTGTTAATGTAAAGAGAATATGTTAAACAATTTTACAAAGTGTTTTAACACTTCTAAAACAAAAATACATTTTGTATTCCATTAACTTGACATGTAATTTTTCTTTTTTGTGAGGTTGTGTATTTTCTGTTTTGAAGTTTCATTTTTATTAACTTCTGTTTTAGGTCTCCAAATAATCTCCGAAGACAATCTCTGTTCATTCAGGTCCAGTGTTCACTTGGATTATGAGATGGGGAGTAGTATGACCATCCTGTCGTGTAAAATAGCCTTCCGCAATGTTAACATCTTCCTTCACCCCTAAACAATCCTCACTTTTCTGTACACTACTCCAATTTATAATTAAAAAATATACATTTGTCCAACATGTTGATTTTGTTTTAATCTTGGACAGTAAGAACCGTGTCCTAGTCTCCTTGTTTTGGCTATGGAAAATTTGGCATGTACACAGTCAATAGTCTGTCTGTTGAAGCAAATGTTCTTTTTTATGATTGCATGTTTTGATAATAAAAAGTGAGTTTATATGTGTATATATTGCGTTTAATTATCTGCTAATGGAATTGAAAACTGGAATATAACACCAAAGAATGCATAATAAATAAAGGTACATAACCTTGCGTGACTATAATTTCATTTAAAAAAAAATACCTTCGCCTAATTTTTGGAATTCTTTCCGTAAATTCTCTATTGCATTTGCACACATTATATATATCTTCGAAAACTTAGTGAATATAGACAAATCACATAACATGATGTACTTAAATTCTGAATACACTGTCATTTTTTTAATCGATCCATGACTTTTGTATGACCCCATTGTTCAGGTTTGACTTTCTAGTCGGAGAATTTGCATTACAGTGAATTGATGTGTTTAATTTACAACTGTTGATCCGATTTTAATGAAATCATATGGTACCTGGACTTAATTTTATCAATCTCATCGCGATATTACTATTTTATAGGGAAATCAAAAAAAAACTTAATTCGGTAATGTTTCAACTTAGCTTTTCTGGATCTCCATAACTTTATTTTAAATTGGCTTTGTTTCCTGCAAGGAGTGGCTAAGATATTGCAGTTTAATAAATATGTAAGTGGATAATGTGAAGATAACGTAAAGTAATCTAATAAATATCACAAACAATACAATTAATATATAAACAGGGCATAAACTTGGACCCCTCGGAAATTCCAGAGGTGGGATCAGGTGAATAGGAGAAGGAAACGGTCATACCCGCCATGGGCCCGAAGTACACGGAACATACCATAGTCAAATTAAGTACAAAAAAGACCAAACAATTGCCACGTAACAAGTAAGCCACATATAGGACCTAGATTTAGTTATATATGTATTTGCACATAAGGTCATTTAAAGACGTTAAAATATATTCTTGAAATGCTAATTTTAAACTAGGTTGTAAAAATCCCTATAATATCAACTTATTTGTAAGAAGCCTGTCTCAGATTAAAAACTAGTAGCACTCGGAGCATTCTCTAGAAAAGCAAATATGTTTGGAGACATACTAGTAACATCAAACACAGGTGATTACGGAATATAGCAACATAATTGAGAAAAGTTGACGATGAGAAAGTTATAGTTATATCATTTTCATACATTTAAATTCATTAAGCGGGCCTTTGTCATAAATTGCCATTTAAAACATCCAAATATGAAACAGATGTAGCAGACTCTGTTGTGTCTTTTATTTCTAGTTCATTGTGATACAGTACTTCTTTATATCCATGGTGTGAATGAAAATAGCAAATGTTATAATTGATAAAATGTTGTCGATATCTGAATGTCGAAGGCCAGTGGAAGGTCAGTTAATTAAGGATCACAATAAATGCCCATCAGGATTCAAACAGTGTTAAAAGACTTTGTCTCCGAAGAATACATAAATGTTGTCAACTAGTAACTAGCACCCTCTTAATAACAATTTCAAAAAACTTCTCTGTACAATCAGTCTTTTACCAGAGTAATTTTGTCGATGACCAATCACTATATGTGAACATTTCCAAGTTCCAATTCCATTGAAAAAGCAGTTGTTTCCGTTATCAAAAAGCCTAATTTTTAATTTATCCAAAAAAAAAAAAAAAAAAAAAAGTTGCATAAATTAAAGATTGGTTGTAGGTTCGTAAGCTTTAGAATTTGAAAGAAAAATATCGAGCTTAAATTTTCTAAATGTTCTTGAGGATCTACATCTGATTTACACCACTATACTAGGATATGTTGTTGCACAGTAAAGATAGGGGCTTTGTAGAGCATTTGCTGTGTGTCAAAGTAGCTTTGTAATGATTTTTAAAGGGTTTAGGAATCTAGTATATAGGTCGGGTAGATCAAACTCATCATGGTTGACTGAAATGTTAAAAAATCTTAACGAAAATGTTATTTCGAAGAATTTTATCCTTGGAACTCCTAAGTATATGTAGGATTTCCAAACTTAGAAAACCAAGTTCTTCCAAAATAAAGTTGTAATAATGAGCCGAGCCTTAAAAGACAAATACAACATTAATAGCAACCTTGTCTGCTGGAATCAATAAAATGCTTTCTTTATACAAAGCAACCTGCTTAAAAGGTAAAATGATTTGCCATTTTTATCAGTGAAGGCAACCTTTAATCTCCGTATCGACAAATATATAAAGGCATTTCATGTTTGTTTTAGTGTCATGGAGGAGTGAGCATTCCGTGCAGACCGGCCCCCACCTGCTGTGTGCTTTTAATCATGATGGGAAAAAAGAGAAATTCGTAGATTTCAGTGGGTAAATAATGGACTAATAATAAGTATAAAAAATATAAGGAAGCATTTGGCTTAAAGATACCAATATATTGTACTTGCTAATTAGGTCTTTGTATCGACCAAAGAACTTACAAAATGATGACTTTATACGAGACTGTTAAAATTCTTTATAAACTTGTTTGTCAAAAGCTTGACTCGTTTGAAATTATTTCGATGTGTTGTTACCATTTTCATATCAATGTAAATATACCAAACTACCAACTACCATATTACATGATAAAATATGTGAATGTTTCAACATTTCTATCGATAGAGTTCCTTCTTATGTGGAATTATATAATCATCATCTGCATTCTGTATAAAAGCCTCCAAGCTGATTTGATTCGCAGGAGCATGTTTTACATAGAATCATTCATTAACCGATCAGTAAGTTTTGGTTACAAGGTTTTCAAATGCTCGTTTAAAGTCGACATTTCGCAAATTTTATGGTCGATACAATAATCGTGACCGCAGATAAATTCTATCTATGGTACGCCAAATTCACAAAAATGAGCTAAACATAGTTTCACAGTCGATAAACTAGGTTTATCGGACTATAAACTATAGTTAACAACGTTAATCTATACTTTACATCCGTAAACCATAGTTAACGCGATAATCTATGTTTCACAACCGTAAACTATACTTAACTATGGCACGCCAAATTCACAAAAATGAGATAATCATAGTTTCACAATTGATAAACTAGGTTTATCGACTGTAAACTATAGTTTACAAACCGTAAACTATAGTTAACGATTCGTTAAGTATAGTTAACGATTCGTTAAGTATAGTTTTCATCTGTAAAACTATATTTAACGGTTGTTAACTATAGTTTACGAATGATAATCTAAGTTTATCTGTCTGTAATAAGCGTTAACAATAGATTTTGTTGATAAACATAGATTCACGTTTGTAAACTATAGTTTACAACCGTAAACTATAGTTAAGAGTTGTTAATCATAGTTTCACAAATCGTGAAACTATATTTATCAGATCGTTAACTATAGTTAACGGTTTGTAAACTATAGTTTACAAATCTTGAAGCTGTATTTATCAGATAATCTATGTTTTGCAATCGCAAATGATTGTTTTCGGTATTAAGTATAGTTTACGGTTGTGAAACATAGATTATCGCGTTAACTATGGTTTACAAATGTGAAATATAGATTAACGTTGTTAACTATAGTTTACGGTTTGTAAACTATAGTTTACAACCGATAAACCTAGTTTATCGATTGTGAAACTATGATTATCTCATTTTTTTGAATTTGGCATGCCATACTTAACACTGAAAACAATCATTTGCGATTGCAAAACATAGATTATCTGATAAATAGAATTTCAAGATTTGTAAACTATAGTTTACAAACAGTTAACTATCGTTAACGATCTGATAAATATAGTTTCACGATTTGTGAAACTATGATTAACAACTCTTAACTATAGTTTACGATTGTAAACTATAGTTTACAAACGTGAATCTATGTTCATCAACAAAAACTATTGTTAACGCTTATTACAGACAGATAAACTTAGATTAGCATTCGTAAACTATAGTTAACAACCGTTAAATATAGTTTTACAGATAAAAACTATACTTAACGAATCGTTAACTATACTTAACGAATCGTTAACTATAATTTACGGTTTGTAAACTATAGTTTACAGTCGATAAACCTAGTTTATCAAATGTGAAACTAGGTTTATCTCATTTTTGTGAATTTGGCATGCCATATCTATCGTCAGGACGATTGTGTACTAATATTTTTAATACAAATGATTAGGATATTAGGCCTATTTCTTAATATCCCGAAGAACCAAAATAAATTTGAACTACCGTATATATATTGGGTTCCGAATTTTCATAAAAATCCTTACAAAGATACATTGCGGGTTCCAGTAAATGTTCAACCAAGCCTCTTTACTCCTCGCTAAGATATTAACAGTAGTGAAGGAAAAATTAAAAGAGTACTGTGCAACAATATATTCAAGAAAGAGTGTGAATCAGATGTGGATACTCAAAAATTCCAAAGAACTTTTGGACAATTTGAAATCACAAGGTTTTACCAAAATCAACTTAAAAACTTCGTAAACTATAGTTAACGATTCGTTAAGTATAGTTAACGATTCGTTAAGTATAGTTTTCATCTGTAAAACTATATTTAACGGTTGTTAACTATAGTTTACGAATGATAATCTAAGTTTATCTGTCTGTAATAAGCGTTAACAATAGATTTTGTTGATAAACATAGATTCACGTTTGTAAACTATAGTTTACAACCGTAAACTATAGTTAAGAGTTGTTAATCATAGTTTCACAAATCGTGAAACTATATTTATCAGATCGTTAACTATAGTTAACGGTTTGTAAACTATAGTTTACAAATCGTGAAGCTGTATTTATCAGATAATCTATGTTTTGCAATCGCAAATGATTGTTTTCGGTATTAAGTAAAGTTTACGGTTGTGAAACATAGATTATCGCGTTAACTATGGTTTACAAATGTGAAATATAGATTAACGTTGTTAACTATAGTTTACGGTTTGTAAACTATAGTTTACAACCGATAAACCTAGTTTATCGATTGTGAAACTATGATTATCTCATTTTTTTGAATTTGGCATGCCATACTTAACACTGAAAACAATCATTTGCGATTGCAAAACATAGATTATCTGATAAATAGAATTTCAAGATTTGTAAACTATAGTTTACAAACAGTTAACTATCGTTAACGATCTGATAAATATAGTTTCACGATTTGTGAAACTATGATTAACAACTCTTAACTATAGTTTACGATTGTAAACTATAGTTTACAAACGTGAATCTATGTTCATCAACAAAAACTATTGTTAACGCTTATTACAGACAGATAAACTTAGATTAGCATTCGTAAACTATAGTTAACAACCGTTAAATATAGTTTTACAGATAAAAACTATACTTAACGAATCGTTAACTATACTTAACGAATCGTTAACTATAGTTTACGGTTTGTAAACTATAGTTTACAGTCGATAAACCTAGTTTATCAAATGTGAAACTAGGTTTATCTCATTTTTGTGAATTTGGCATGCCATATCTATCGTCAGGACGATTGTGTACTAATATTTTTAATACAAATGATTAGGATATTAGGCCTATTTCTTAATATCCCGAAGAACCAAAATAAATTTGAACTACCGTATATATATTGGATTCCGAATTTTCATAAAAATCCTTACAAAGATACATTGCGGGTTCCAGTAAATGTTCAACCAAGCCTCTTTATTCCTCGCTAAGATATTAACAGTAGTGAAGGAAAAATTAAAAGAGTACTGTGCAACAATATATTCAAGAAAGAGTGTGAATCAGAAGTGGATACTCAAAAATTCCAAAGAACTTTTGGACAATTTGAAATCACAAGGTTTTACCAAAATCAACTTAAAAACTTCTGACTTTTCAAATTTATACACAACCATTACCCACGATAAATTAAAGTCCAGGCTTTTTGATATCATTGACAGCTGCTTGTTCAATAAAAATGGAACTCGTGAATTTGCTTACCTGGTTTTTTGTCATTTGCAAAATTATTTTGTTAAAACACATTCTGTTTATTTCTGATTGACAATATCTATGTGGTTTTTGGAGACCAGGTTTCCAACAATCTATTGGAATTCCCATGGGTACCAATTGTGCTCCGTTATTAGCAGACCTATTTTTGTATTCATTGGAAGCAGATTTTGTGCAAAATCTTATGCGTGAAAAAAGAAAACACTTGCTGTGGCCTTCAACTTGACATTTAGATATATCGACGACGTATAGTCAATTAACAACGGTAATTTCAATTTTTATGTCGATACGATAAATCCTAGTAAGCTCAAGATAAAAGATACCACAGAGTCTGATACATCTGTTTCATACTTGGATATTTCACTTGAAATAGACGTTAATGGTAATCTAACAACCAAGCTCTATGATAAATGTGATGACTTAACTTTTCCATCGTCACTTCCCTTACCTATGCAGCAAAATACCTTCATCACCTGTATACGGAGTTTATATCTCTCAGTTGATACGATAAGCAAGAACGTGCTCTTCGTATGAACAATTTCTAAAACGAGGTAAATTATTAACAAACAAGTTGATGAAACAAGATTATCAGCAGTCATCAATTCGTTAGTTCTATGGTCAATACTATGACCTTGTCAGCAAATACAATTCATCATTGAGTCAAATGTTGACTGGCGTTATTCAAACTAATTGTTAGTCCATTGTTTATACACTGCTCGAAATGACGATGATTTTCCTGTTATTTCCCGATCATTACAAGGAGCACACGGCGGGTGTGACCGATCGGCAGGGGATACTCGATCCTCCATGGCAGCTGATCCCACCTCCATGGTACCTCAGTTCACTTCTGAAGTTCGTGCTTGCTCTGTTTTCAATTTGTACTCTTTATTTGGAAATGGTACATATCTTCTAAAAATAGTAAATGAACTAGAGGTACTGTGAGCAATGGCCTCACTAAATTATGCCCCGCCACCCAGCCATTATGGCAAAGTTCATGTTTTACTCTGGGAAACCCGAAAGAAAATTCAGATCAAAAAGTTAAATAATGCACAATGCCATTATGTAAGAAAGAGTCTGTGAAAGTATTCGATTTTATTCAGTGGTATAGGAGGAGCTGTAGATAAGAGATAGTCGCCCCTCAATATTATAGAAAGAACGGCAAGTCAATATTCCGCTGTGGGAAACCCAAAATATGTATCCGATCAAAATGTAAAATACTAGGTGTATAATGGCACTATGTAACAAAGGTTCTTTGAAAGCTTTATTAAATTTCATTCCGTGGTAAAGATGGAGTCGCGGATAAGAGATGAGTACCCCAAAGCGAAACAGACTGACATACGTACTGACAGACTGATTGAAACCTCGATCACTATATACCAAGCTACTTTTCAAGCGGGGTATAATAAATCGTTAATAGGTTAATGCAATTTAATTAATGTTCTTGTTCATTACATTTTTAAAAGGAAAATATTGTTATTTATTTCAATTATTAAATAATATTTATTTAATCTACGTTGATTTATATTTTCTTCTATATTTATTCATTTACAGATTCATTCATTGATAGTGAAAACTTAATTGAGTCCTTTGCCAGAAAATAGGTTGTGTCTAAAGGTTTCGAAAATACACGTAAATTGTTAGTAGACAAGATATTATACAAGTACTCTCATATTTGACATTTGTAACGAGCAGTAAAAATATAAAAGAAAGCATAAATTGTGTCATATTGCTAAGTGCTTATGTTGTCAGCATTTAAACTTCTCTATTAGAAATTAGTTGCAATTCCGTGTCTTTTCCGTAGGAACTAGTATTTCTCGCACCTCGGCTCTAGTTCCAAACCCTCATTTTTCCCCATCATCAATCACAAAATATGGGCCCACTTTGTGTAATCTTTCGACAGGTTTAACCCATTATATTTCAGAGTTTGTGTCGATAAGGATACATGTTCCGAGGACTATGTTTTGGATCCTTGCTTGCTTGACCATACGGTCAGTACTGGGAACCTGGACCAACCAAGGTAGGAAAGTACACGGATTTAAGGTCATCTCACTGCTCAATTATAGGTCAAAATTGATAGATGTCTTTTTATCGTGTCCTCGTTTGTATTTTCATTAACTGTCTTGAATCTATCTATTACTATCAGTATGGTGTTTTTTCGTTAAGTATTAGAATTTGGGTAATGTTGGGAGGGATTGACTTGGTACAGTACTTCTGATATCCCCTGGAAGGTGACCACTTTTCGTATTATATTTATAGTATATATTTATATGTATTGATAAGAATATCAGTAATTTGGCGTAAATTTTGTGTAATCGGGTCATACATGCGTTCACTGTAAATATTGGTCAGGGAAACGTGTGACTTGTTCAAAACTGAAGAATCTGTTTGTTTAATGTTTAAGTGGAGACTCAAATGATGTATCACCTGATGTTGTATAAGCCCTGTGCTCTAGGAGGAGACATTACGGTTGTTACTGTCCAAATTTGCTTTTTGACCAAATTAAGAAATGTGGGTGTTTGGTATTTCCGATAAACTAGACATGGAAAGAAAATGAGAGTTATGGCTGAATCATTTGAACAGAAATTCCATCATATTAAAAATTGAAACTAATAAAAATTTTAGAATTAAATACAGTATTGCAAGACAGTATCATCTCCAGGGTAAGGGGGAAAATGAAATGAAGGGGAGAGGGAAAAAAGGAATAAACAGTTTTGTATATTTGTATTAAGTTGGAGAGGTGTGACATCCAACTCCCATGAGTTCCAAAGCTTTAGAACAGAAATGATAAAGTGGTCAATTTAGTTTTTATCCTCGTGAAATGAGCAATGTGCAGTAAGAATATCGAAATTCAAACATTATGGGATGACATTCTATAGGTGTATGTGTAGGTTTTGACCTTGTCTGTACTATTCAGGAATTCACAGATTACATAGATAATCAAAGAAACCCAAAATAGAAGTTTTATATTCCATAAATCGAGAATAAATGCCGGTCAAATTTAAATTTTTTATCAAACAAACATGGTCAAAAAGTTACATGGGTGTATTTACGAACTCCTGATTAAAATCCTGTTTTATTATAAAAATTGCTTCAAAATATCACTTATTTGAATTTTTTCTATCTTTGTATGTACTCAGTCCATGATCTTCAGAACCTGTTTCTCTTTTTCATTATCTTGAACGTGAAAAAATATTAGGATGTTTTCGTAGTCAGGAGGTCAGTAGATGTAAACGTACAGGTAAGAAGGAGAGTATCCTGTGTCCAAAGTACTATACATGTATAAAGGTGATTTGTAGGTAACTAGTACTAGTAGATAAACATCTATACAATATCCTGCCAAACCCCCGGTCCTTCGGATAAGCCCGTTAAGCCGAGGTCCCGTGTCGCAGTAGGCGCTGGCAAGAAATAGATCCCTCCCTGCTCAGTGGCCCTGAGTGCCGAGTATAGGACAACATTTGCAGCTCTCCACCGGCATGTGGTGGCGTCTCCATATGAGTGAAAAATTCTCGAGAGTGACGTTAAACAATATACAATCAATCAATCAATCCATGCCAAACCCATTGCAATTCATGTATTTCATTCAATGATATGATTTGAATAAACAAAATATGAACTGTAGTTTAAACCCTGATTGTCAATAAACGAATGATTTCTATTTTTAACTCATATCGTCTGTTTATTGTAAAGAATGATTTATATTAATCTACATTTTAAATTGAAAAAAATTGACATATGACTTTTCATTAGATGTACGAGGGTTGTCCCGTAAAATCGTGGACAAGTTGTCTAGTTTGAAAAATAATCCTCACTGCGTTCTGAAATTTTCACCACTTTTTAGTAGATAAATTATGAATATACATAGCAAATTTCAAATAGATATATGCATAGGTAAACAAATTGTGATATTTTATGTTATGTACTGTATCGCCCAACGGCGCACGGATGATAACGTCAAAGTGTCTAAAACAGCGTCACGTTTCATCTTTGCTAAACTTAAAGTTGGATAAGCCCCACTTAAATTTAGAAATTTTATTGATTTTTATATGTGAGTATCTATAACCAGTTATGAAACCAATAAGGCACACTCATGCGATCTTCTGAATATTTATTAGCAAGTTACAGACAGTATTCTCACCCTCATTGAACTAAAAGAGAATCTCACATCGACGGTCGACAGTGACAGCGTCCTTTGCTATAACAAATGGCAGTCTGTCCATATGTTTTGTGCTATATGGGGACTCGACCACGAAGACTTCACTAAGAGAACTTTCATTTCATTTATATACTAAAGATCTGGTGATATTTTTCATATTTTCTTTCTTCTGTATTCATTTAAAGTCTCTTAAGGCGTCACTACAACATCATAATCTATCTGAACTGCTCTCCGGTGCGCCGTAACGTCATAAAAAGTCGCCATTTTTCGTGTATTGTGTTTATTACTTTCCCATTTCAAATGCACGGGAAACTGCCAAAAATTAACCAAATGCCTTGACATTTTTAAAAAGACGACAGAATTGATTAAGGAATGGAATTAAGATAATTTTCATCCTAATCTTATGTATTGAAAACTTTTATTACGAATTAATTCTTATGTCTTCTCTAATATTACCTTGCTATTTTTACCGTGCGGAGATTACCCTGTGCACATTCAAGCAGAATAAAATCTTTATTTTTGAATATATATTATCAAAAACATTATGATTCACTTTAATATGATGAATAAACATTTACTGAAAATTTCAGCTTAGTGCGCCCATTACTTTTCGAGAAAAACGCTTTGTCCACGATTTTATGGGACAACCCTCGTATGTGTATTTTTATTAATTTATTTATTAAGGTCTTCCGTCTTCAGCGGAAGACCTTTTTATCCTCAGTTTCTTTTTCACATTTCTTCATATATATTATTATTCTTTTTTCGATTTATTTATATTAAATTTTGCTTTCGCAGTTTGTTTTCAGTAGTACATGCCTTTGTTTTAAATATAAAAATATTTTAAAAGGCATTCTTGGTACATGTACCATTAGCACTTGTTTTGTGTGTAGAAGGCATCCCTTGCATGTGTTCAGGATCATTAGAAATTCGGCACTGATTTTGCCGACAAGTACATGTATATGTTTGGATACATGTTTCATTTGAGCAATTTGGTAAACATTACTTTTCATGATTTCTTGAAATGTTAATTACAAAAACCTTAGATATAACACAAGTTACCGTTTCGATGAACAGAAAACTCACTCAATGCTTGCTTTCTATATCATATATGCCAAGGGAATTACGAAGTCGTTAATTATACTCGATGACTGGGCATCGATTTTGAGTGGCAAAAAGTGGGAGGGCAGGCAGAGAAAATAATGTTATCGGGAAAAAAAGTTTAAACGAGAAGGAGCAACTTATTTATCAGTAGCCTGCCTCGGTGTAAAATCCAATCGTAATCAGAGCATGTTCATGAGTATCACATTGATTTGGAGACATATATCAACATTTGCTAGGTTTATGACTGTTTCATCTTCAGGCTAGGGCTATGTCTTTTAATACTGCAATTTCCGATATGAAACGTATCGATCATATCCTTTTAAAATGTTTCTCTTTTAGATATTTCTATAAACGTGAATAAGCCAATCGCCTATATTGGAGATAAAAATATAATAATCAGATGTGAAGCCCAAGGCACGCAAATTGTGAAAGCAGAATGGATAACTTTACTCTTAGAGGGCCACTCATATGAGAGACCCATGGTCAACATGGTCAGAACTCCGACAGGTCACGTGTTTGAGTGGGGAGAAGCTTTCAATGTGACGGACCTGCATCAGAGGATGACGGTTAATGGGAGTCTGGAGGGTACGGTGTTCCTACAGCTGGACATTCACCAGGCCAAGTTTGAGGACGGCGGGAGATACACGTGTAATTACGGAGGGCTGGATAAACATGACAGATTCCTGGAATTCCACGAGTCGGAGGATTTCTTTGTGCAGTGTAGGTACACAAAGATCACATTATGTCTGGGTAAAAAAAGAATTCTGAAAAATTGTGTGATATGGAAACCTGCACTGTTATCTGATTTTATTTTTTTCCAGATCATATCATTCAAAGTAACTACACTGGTGTTCTTACACCAAATAAAGGTGAGTGGATTTTTAAAATAATGTCTTCTCTCAACATATTTGTATATAAAACAACAGTTTATTTACCACTGTAAATGACATATAAAGAACAGTAGCAAAGCTCAAAAGTCTTTTGAGACTATAGAGCAAACACCGACCTCTCAAAACATCAACGTGGAATCGGGTACCATAGAAGAGTATGCATCCTCTTTCCACCTGTTACAACCGCCGTGCGCTTGTCATAATCAAGCAGATGGAAAAATTTGTACTTTAATCATAGTGTGAAAATAATGGCCTTATAATAAGCATGAAAAACGTCAGACAGTATTCAACGTAATGATAGATTGCATTTGTTGACAAGGTTATTGGTTCGAATTTAGAATTCATAAAATGTTGTCTAATTATAAACGAGACTGTTGATTACCTTGTTTCAATAACTTATTTTTTATTAGCCTTCCTCTTTTCAAAAATAAATTGTAAATGAAATGAAATTCATGAAAAAAATGCACTTTTTGGTAAAAGCTCTCATGAATATGATACCGGGTATATCATTTAATTGTAGATATTCTCATAACCATTAACAAGCTGTCTGCTTATATCGGTGAGTCTGGGGTTCGTGTGAGGTGTGAATCCCCAGGAAACGTGATCACGGACCCAAAGTGGATCTCGGTTATGGTGGAGGGCTTAAAATACCAAAGTCCTCTAGCTAACATGTTCAGACCTATAAATAGCACTAAGGGAATGTTCGAATGGAGTGACGAATTCAACATCACTGATCTACAGAATCGAGTTATGTATTCTGGAAGTCTTACAGGTGCCAATCCTTATATGGAGCTTGAGTTCAAGGAAATTAAATGTGAGGATAGCGGCCGATACACTTGTATACTAAATGGACTGGACAGCACGGGGAATTTGACTCAGTTTTCTAGTTCTGCCGATTTCATTGTCAAATGTGAGTACTCAGTACTGCCCAAATATTTATTGAATTTAAGATTTCTTAAGGTCTGTTAATCTTTTGAACAAAAATCCCATGAAAAATGAAGCTCACTTAAATAGTATCACACATCCAAATGATAAAATTTGAATCTATTACATCTAACACACAAAAGTTCCTTGTTCGGAAACTGCATCCAATGTTCAAATTTTAAAACCTTGATGATATTGATAATTTCCTCCGAAAATTTTCAAAAATTTTCCAATTCAATAAATTAGGGTCCCTTTTGCATATTTTCCTCAAGTTCTTGCATGATAGAATGATAATTGTATATCAAAATGAAATTTAAATTGTTCTTGAGTAACAATTAATCAATCTTTGTCTTCAATTCTTTCATAACCTATTGAAGCTCAACACGCTATATGTGGCTCAATTACAAACGAGGATAAACTTAATTCGAATTTAAGATACATGGAGATTCTGGTATGATAACACCAAGTGTAAGATATAATATCAAGAACCATTCCCTTTGTAGCCTTAAATGGAGAGCCAACCATCAAAGACAAACATGACCAAGTAGTTTCCAATAATACAGTTCTTCACAAAAGACCTGGTGGATTCATTTTTTTTAACTGTGAGGGAGCAACTGGAAAACCCAAAATCCCCATCATCTGGACAGAATCCAACAGAACAACTGAACGAGTGTTGAAAGAGAGGGATGGTGCCGTGTCAGGTAATGCATTATATTAAAAATAGATTCAGACAGTGCAAATTTCAAAAATATCTTCACTTTTAAACATTATTAAGATTGTGGTATGCAGTGTCAAAAATCACATAATTCAGGATTTTTAATGTAGATTAGCCATTAGTGATGTTCTCATCTCTCTGACTTTTGCAGGGTTAGAAATCATCCCTGATGATGATTTATGCAGATTCCATTCCCAACTTCATCTGTATTATATTGTGCCAGACAAACCTGTCACACTGAAATGTAAGATAGCTTTTTCTGTGTCTATCGTGCACATAATCCCCACAGGAAATAATCCTAGTGTATACCACAACACACCACACACACAGGTGGCATCCAACAGTGTATCTGTCACACCAACCACAACTGTGGCACCTCAATTCAACAACAAAACGACGACTCGGTCTACAACAGCTGCACCATTACCATCAACAACATTAATGGCGGTACCAACAAGTACATCTGCACCAACTTCTACAGCAGTACTCTTAACCTTGACAACAGGCCAGCCAACATCTAAATCAACATATACTTCAACACAAGCAACAACAGCTAAATCAACACAGTTAACTTCAACAACAAGCTCGCCAACAAGTAAATCAACACTGTTAACATCATCAACAGGCCAGCCAACAACTAATTTAACATCAACACTAGCACCGACAACTCAATCAACAATGTTAACTTCAACAACAGGCCAGCCAACAACTAATTCAACATCAACAACAGTACCAACAACTCAATCAGCACTGCTAACATCATCAACAGGCCAGCCAACAACTAATTTAACATCAACACTAGCACTGAGAACTCAATCAACAATGTTAACTTCAACAACTCATTCAACATCAACAACAGTACCAACAACTCAATCAGCACTGTTAACTTCAACAACAGCAGCACCAAAGGCAACAATAACTTCTACACTGAGACCCTTGTCGTTAGCACCATTAACTACAGCAGCGGTGCCAACATCTACAACAGGCACAAATACAGTGGTACAAACAAATTCACCATTTACAAATTTACTAAAGACATCAACAACACCTGTCTTAATACTTCACAAAAAGAAATATCAGAGTAAGTTATTAATCTAGTATTTATAGCTAAAACCCAATCCAAAAAGCTATACACAAACTTGGTCCCTCCAGTTTAACCAGAATTATGAATAAATTAAACTGTAAGATAATTTTTGTTTTCCTCATGTGGAGTAGTTTAAAATTTACATATCTTGGACAAGCTATATATCAAGATATACAAACATTAAATTTTCAATATTTCTTTTTTACAGATGATCTCCATGAGAGAATGAGAGACAAGTTTCTTAAAGTGAAAGCAAATAAAATTTAATGTACAGAGACATTGACTTGATTAGACCGGAATGAAATCAGTCAAATGTGTCAGTCATTTAGAATCAAATAAGATAAAAATTAGGTACACTCATAGGTGTGTTCCCACTTCGCCTTAACTGTGAAATATAGGTAAGAAAAACTTAAAAAGTACTAAGGCGAAATGGGAATTTTAGTATTTGTAAATACATTGAATTTAACTACTGTGATGTTTGCCAAAAAAATACTTTATGCTAAATATATTAAATTCATACCTTAATTCACCAGCTAAGGCAAAATGGGAATGCTAAATTTTACAGTTAAGGCGAGATGGGAACAAACCCAATCATATCATTACATAGTCTGACATTGCTATGCTGTTTGCCATTACCATTTACAACCATTTACAGTTCAGTTATTATGTTCTCCTTCTGAGGAATCAAGTGTACTAGTTGGCAACTTCAAACTCTTTAATAAGAAAGACAAAACAATAAAAAATTTGAAAAAAATTTATCTCAACTAAAAAATAAATAAATACTTCTGAAAAAGGTCAGATAAATAAGAGATTCTAGTTTTTAAATCTCATGATGTACATGTATATTATGCATACCATTAGAGTTTCTCCTTTATCTTTTAAAATTACTCATCGTACATTCACTTGAGTCAAAGATATGAAATATCTGAATCAAAAATTATTTTCATAACAACTGTGTAGATAATCTATTGCAAATACTACATAATCACACAAGCTTATGACGGGAATAAAGTCCTTTGTTCATAAGAAATATAAAATATGGCTACTAGTTTATCACAGATTATTTTAGAGGAAGGCACTATATGTGGACTCACGGTTATTGTTTACCTCCATGTTTTTACAAAAATCACCTGTGAGTGGAATACAGTTAAAGTATTGACACCCAGGACAGTCATATAAAGGTAAAACATAGAATAAAACCACCAGTATAATAAATAAGAAAATAGCCCCTCCCAGGGATAAAATAATCCCAATGATCTTCCGTCGCCGGTCGAATTCCCCAAATGACACGTACGGTAACAGAGAAAAGGCTAACAAGAAACCGAATAGGAAACCACAGACATGGGCCCAGTTGTCTATCCAGGGAAGCAGGCCAAGGATAAAGAGAAACATGATGAACCCTCCTATTTTCAGGACAGCCAGGCATGGCGTTTTTAACATCTGGATGCTCTGTAGGACTTCCACTAATAAACAGGCGAGGATCCCAAACTGACAGCCTGCGGGGCCAACCTAACACAAGGCAATATCAAAGAGTATACCACAGGGGAAAATTTACATAACGCAAACTGGCACATTAATTTTATTACAAATTGTTTTCTAATTTTAACAATACTAATGAAAAAAATTAGTGGAATATTTAAAATGAAAGTTAAAAAAAAAAACACTTAAACTATGAACAAGAACAGTGCAGCTGACCTACCTCTACATGATAGGGTAGGAAAATGGAGCTGGCTAAATTCCCTGCTACCCCACTGCCCAGATAAATAATGGCCAGCCTAATACAGCCAGTTAGCTTCTCAATATCCCTCATAACCAGGAACTGGAAACCTATAGTGATCACCAGGTGAAACAGCCTGTAAATAATAATTAGATTATATCTTATTATCAATTCTACATCTTGGACTGTTTGTACCTGTCTGTACCTGAATGATTTATATAAAAAAAAAAAAGACTGAATCCAATACCAGAATCAATCCTTAAATGGGTCATTGCAATTAAATGTTATAAATGTTGTGATTGGCCATTTTAATTGTAATAAATCCCAAGATTAGCCACTTTATGTCTGATTTTTCTAGTAATTGTTACATTTACATAATTTTCAGTGACACGCAATGCATGAACCACGAATAAATCTTTCTTAATCAGATTGTTTATAACTTACCCTCCATGCAAAAATAGAGATGTCCATAAGCGATAGAACTGATCTGGTTTATTTTCATCAGCAAAGTCCATCATTCCACAAATCTGTCCTAAGCAGTTAACCTAGAAATAAAACACGATTTTTTATCAGGTCTATTATAAACAAACAAAAGTACATTTGGAAACAAGCAAACTAGTTTTATAATTCAAATCAAGAAATAAAATCAAATTTGATATATTTTATTGAAAAGAAGGCCACTTTATGGCATTTTATTTTACTAGGCTCTAGGATTAACATATTTTAAATGACACTTTACCTGTGAACACAGATATTTGTCCTCGTGGTAATAGCCCTCTATAAAGTCACAATGCTCTCTGGTGGTGATCATACACTCTCCCTGGATACCATGGCAACAAGGTCGACCCGTGATGTCACAACTCATGTGACGGTCGGTTCTGGAGGATACATTGGACACTGGTTTTCCTGTATCTTCACAGTACTGCAATTAAGATTGATTTGATGACCATCGGTCTTTTGGAATTTGTTTAAGATAAAGTACTTCTTGGTTTAATTTGTTTTTATGATACTTACAGGCCACTTTGTGATGTCTGCCTTATCCCACTCAAAAGGAGCCACAGAGGCGGGTTTATTGCAGTATCTACAATTCATATTCATGTACATATTGATAGGTAAATAAATTAAATCCTACATGTATATGGATTAATGTAAATACATGTATAATCATGATTAACTATTGAAGTACTGAGTGTCTTGGATTTTTAAAGTCATATTAAACTTTGAATTTATAAAACATTACAAAATTTAATGCAATGCTCATAATTTTAATGTAAATACCAGGTATAATAAGATATTGATTTATAGCTGTGGTTACAGACTACTTCACATACTTTGGATCCTGTCCACACACTGAGCCCGCTGTGAATCCATTGTTTGTAGAAGCTATTGAAGCATTGTACTTGTGAAAGGTGGAGAGAACAGTCTGAAAATGAAACAAGTGTTAAACATGAGCCTCCACTCAATAGACTGGTGCATAACCAACTGGTATATTTAATAAGAGGGAGATAACCATTTGTCAGTCATTTTCTACAAAACCTATCATTAAATTCATCAGTAACTGCTAAAATACTTCTGTATATTACTCAGTTGCAAGAAAAAAATAATACATGTAAATGAAAATATGAAAAATAATAATGTTCTTGTAATTTACGGTTATGAATATAAAAGGAAACTAATTAAGCCACATCACTTACACTACACTTGGATTTGACAGACTGTACACATCCTGAGCCGTCGTCACGGATACAGCAGGCCGATTCCTTCTCCTCAGCGCGGTCCTTATAGATCCCCGCCCAGATATTGTCATCATGTCTCATACACGGTGAATACTTAGCTCCGAGGTGTATCAAGTCAGCCTTCAAGGAAACAGTACATATGATACACATTTGTACCAACTGAATATATATTCAAGTTAAATGTGGATAAAAGCAGAGTGAATAAGAATATACAAAACAAACCTGTTTTGGTCCAATCCACAGGTTGTCTTTCTCAACATATCTCACTGTTTCAAAAGCCAGGTTTGGTTTCAGAACCTAGACAATGTACAAACAATAAAATTATTTCTTTTTTTAATTTAAAGTGATATATTGTTCATAAATCACCTCTCTTTTCTGCTTTACCAGAATAATACAATGCAATTGGTTTTTCCTTATCATGCAATTTCCTTTCTTTTACTAAACAAGAGGCCCATGGGCCACATCGCTCACCTGAGAAGCTTTGGCCATTCTGTTCTTTACCAGATTTCCCCCTTGTATTACATATTGTGACCCCACCCTTTCCACTTATCATAATTTAAACAATTTGAAATCTACACTACCCCAGTATGCTTCTAAATAAGTTTCAGCTTTGATTTTCAGATTTTTCCTATATATTTCTATGTAAAACATTGATTCCCCATTGTGGCCCCGCCCTACCCCCGGGGGTCATGATTTGTACAATTTAGAATCTACACTACCCCAGGATCCTTCCACATAAGTTTCAGCTTTTCTGGCCCAGTGGTTCTTGAGAAGAAGATTTTCAAAGATTTTTCCTATATATTTCTATGTAAATCACTGATTCCCCATTGTGGCCCCTCCCTACCCCGGGGGTCATAATTTGTACAATTTAGAATCTACACTACCCCAGGATGCTTCCACATAAGTTTCAGCTTTTCTGGCCCAGTGGTTCTTGAGAAGAAGATTTTCAAAGATTTTTCCTACATATTTCTATGTAAAACATTGATTCCCAATTGTGGCCCCACCCTACCCTCGGGGGTCATGATTTGTACAATTTAGAATCTACACTACCCCAGGATGCTTCCACATAAGTTTCAGCTTTTCTGGCCCAGTGGTTCTTGAGAAGAAGATTTTCAAAGATTTTTCCTATATATTTCTATGTAAAACACTGATTCCCCATTGTGGCCCCGCCCTACCCCTGGGGGTCATGATTTGAACAATTTAGAATCTACACTACCCCAGGATGCTTCCACATAAGTTTCAGCTTTACTGGCCCAGTGGTTCTTGAGAAGAAGATTTTTTAATGACCCAACCCTATTTTTGTCTTTTCTTGATTATCTCCCCTTGCGAGGGGATATGTCCCTTCATTTTAACAATTTAAATTTCCCTTCACCCAAGGATGCTTTGTACCAAGTTTGGTCAAAATTGGCCCAGTGGTTCTTGAGAAGAAGTCGAAAATGTGAAAAGTTTACAGACGGACAGACGGACAGCTGGACAGACAGACGGACGACGGACAAATTGTGATCAGAAAAGAATGACTCGCTCAAAACAATTTTAAGCTAAAAATGGACAATTATTGATATTTAATGCATCCTTACTTTGATCAACTGTTTTTTTACTTACAATTTTCTTGGTCTCTGTCTCTGAAACTCCAATTGGAGCAATTCCATAAACGGCCACAGATACAATGAATATCAAGGTCTGAACAAATGTCACCCAGTACGTGAAATAGGGCCTGTAATTAAAAGATCAAAAGTAACGAATATCCCATAAAATCTAATACAACACAAAGTCTACACACATGTCAGCCAGTAAGTGAAATAGGGCCTGTAATTAGAAAATCAAAAGTAACAAATGTTGCACAAAATCTACAATGACACAAAGTCTGCACAAATACCACCTTGAGAGTGAAATATGGCTTGTAATTAAAAGATCAAAAGTATTGAACGAAAACAAATAAAATATACAACAATGTAATATGGCTTGTAATTAAAAGAGGAAGGAGTAGAAACTTTAAATATTCACAAATATTAAACAAAATTTCAATAAACATAGCTCTTCAAAGAGATACATGTTTTTACATTTTACCAATAATGTACAGGTGAGCCTTATTACCTGTGGTCATCAATGCTGTCAATCTGAGTCTTCACATAGGAGTTCATTCTTTCACTTCTGTAACTCCTGTTGAAGAGCCGGCCCACAAATCCCATTCCAACCTCTCTCTTGTCATTGGCTGTAACAGAGTTCACGACCTCTGGCTCCATTCGACTCAGTCCAAACTCCCCATCCTCATGGCCTGAGGGTTTTGCCCTGGGACCAGTTCTTCTCTTGCCCCACCCACCACGAGGTCTGACAAAATAGAGGCTCAGTATTGTAATTATGTAGATTTTAAATTGAATTAAGAATAATATAGTGGGCATATAAGATAGTTTATGCTATCTGTTTCTTTACAGGGATGGAAAATTCTTTATTTCTTTCCATACTTTTCTTTTCAATGGTGAGTGTTTTGCAATCATTGCTGATCATTTAATGTTTTTTGACTTACAGTTCATATTCTCCTTCTTCTCCAATGCTAGACATTTTCTGGAATGGTTTCTCAGGTGGAGCAATAGGTTCATCATAGAAAACATCATCCACCAAACTGAATGCATCCTCATGTTGTTGCTATTTAAAATTTTTTTTAAAATAATCAAAGTCTATATTCAAACTAAATGCTAGTACATGAAAATATTTCTTCATTGAAATTTTTTAAGATGTGGCGAAAAGAAAAGCACATTGACTTACTGTAAACCAACTTTTATTCGTGTGCGAGAAATTTTCGCGAAGTTCGCGAGAGCCTCGGCGCGAACCGGTCCATAAAGTGTATGTGTCTATTAACAACAGATCCAAAAAGTACACCACTGGTAAATCGCGAAATAAAGTCGTCGCGAAAAAAAGTTGGTTTACAGTATGCTTTGCAAAACAAAACTTAAAAGTCTTCTTATTTTGACCATATTATTTCTTCCAATTAAATTGACAGTTTGAATTAAAAGTCTGTTAACTCTAGGTTGCCAGCTGATAAGTGTATGGTAATTGCTCATCATATGTTTACATGGTAGTTAATGCTGGCTGACAGATCATCTGGGAATTCCCCTGTGTAACTTCCTGGTCCAAAACTTCTCTGTTGTGGCTTCTTCCTGAGTTTATTTCTCATTCCCTGAAACCAGAAAGATAAAAGTGTTCTCATACATGAGCCATTCAACGTACAGTAAAAATTCTACAGATATCAAATGCAGTTCACTCAATTATCAACGTCTTCATAACCATATGACTGAAACTAAGAATCTTTTAAACTTCTTAAACAAATAAACGACCTGTCTATAAAATACAGACAATCTTTGAGACAGCCTTCATACTTACGGTAACAGTCATAATGCCTTTAACAGTCATCTTAGCTACAGATTCCTTCCGGAGTCTCTTTGATGGCCTGTTAACGCGGGCGTAAGTACTGGTACTAGACAGGGGAGTTGTTCTTCTTGACCCAGGCATTCTGTACGGATCATGGATGTATTTGATAGTGGAGGCATCCAGATCATCTTTCAGCCCAAGGTCCCTCTTTTCCAGCTCCTCTGGTTTGACTTGTTTCTTGTAGTAATGAAGTCTCCTATTCCTCCACCTTTCCTGATGCAGTTTTGATTTTTCCTCGTCATCTTCAATTCCAAAGAAGCTTGCTACACTGCTGCGAATCTTTCTGCACGCAAAAAGAAAAATTTTAAATTTCATATCTAGAAGAGATTCAGCTTTAAGACATTTCTGCCTATTAAGTTTAATACTCTGCTTTTTTTTTAAAATAACTTTTTTTTTTATTCCTTAAAAAAACAATTTTCTACATTCAACATTCCCTTATGGTGATTAAATTGCCAGGTAAAGTCTTTTGAAACCAACTGTGAGTAAATAATCCTCACATATTTCAGAAGCTGCAGAACTGTATCTCTCTGATTAAGTAAATGTCGAGAATGTGTTTGTACTTTATTACCTTGCCATGCTCTTCTTCTCCTTGGATTCCCCACTCCCTGGGGTACTAGCTGTGGTCATCTTAGATGCCTGTCTGTCTATTGCTCTGTGACTCATTGTTAATGTTGTCCTTGTTGTGGACACTTAGAGTAAAGAAAGTATGCACAAGGTTAGAATTTTCATACGAAAAAGCACTAATCAGTGACAGCAGCTTATTGAAAGTAAGAGTTTTACAAATTAGCATGATTAGGCTCCTAAAATTTCCACATTTCCTAATGATATGCAGACTTAATCAGAAATTGTCCCCTCTTAAAGCACCAATCATATGGATATCGCAGAATAAAGTAAGATTTGAAAAGTTTTCATTTTTAATTACGGACAGATAGCATGAATTGGCATGAAACATAATTATTAAATCGGTTGCTATGTCAATAAAATGGTCTCTAAACACCAATTTCTTTTTTGCATTTGTATGATATTATTTCTACACTTGCAATAACCAAACTGGATCACTTAATATTCTTCTTTTACCTTTATTAACTTTCCCAGTTCTGTAAATCTGTTTATTTTCCGAGTCAATGGCGACAAACCGGAAAGAGCACCAGCTGTATTTTCAGAATATCAAACCCGACGTTAAAAAGTTTTGATCAATGGAATAAAGACAAACATAGCAATTATAGTTAAACTTTTTACAATAATATACTGTTTTTTTCAATAAGTTAATGTCCATTTTATGTTATTTTTATTTTCATATGTGCCTGCTGATTAATTTGCTTGCCATGTGAGAATTTATCAGGTATATATCAGACACATAGATGTCTATGGGATATGCATGCCTCATAAATCAAAGAAGGCATCGATCTCACAGTGACTTGAGAGAGACAATCTTAGCAAAATCGGGTATATAGTATAATACCCGATTTTGCTAAGATATTGTCTCAAGTCCCTGTGATCAATCAGTTTTATTCAGATTAGACTTTTAATTAGCTTGATAGTATCCATTCTTAAAAAAAAACTGTGCCATAGTTGATGAAAGTGAGGAATTTCTTCAAAATGTTTTTAAAGTTTCGCTCACCATATGGGGTCATATCTGACCTGATCCTGTTATTCTTTTTGACTATCCAGATTTCTCAGTGAATCAAAGATCTGATTCAGTCAGGACAGTCCTTGAAAGTTTGCATACAAGTGCCATGGGCCATACTCACCAAAATCTCTATCCCTGCTGTTCCGCCAAAAAATACAATTCCTCATTTTAGATATAAAGCTTCTTGAAGCAAGTATAAAAATATTGCATATATAAATTGTACTTCTTTATTTCTCAAAACATTTTAAAGATATCAATCAAAATTATTCATACTTTGTAAAGTTTTCTTATACATTTTTGTAAGTAGCAGATTAGTTTTTGTCACAGGTTTCACGTAACAAAAGATACATGTACAAAAGGGAGGGTTACATATGCCCTGCAAAAAGATCATTAATGATAATTCATCTAAAAGACAAACTTAACAACTAAAACTATAACAATATGCTGTAACTTTTTTGTTTCATATCAATTAAAATAATTAAGTTCCATAGATAGCATCAAATCTTAAATAAAATAATTTATAAACCAAAACAAAACCAAAAAACCCCAGCATCTACTATTTAATGTTGACATTCAGTTTTGTTTTGAAGCCTTTGGAGGCATTAACAGGAATGCCATTGACACCAGTGAGTTTCTTTCTGTTTTGGTGCTGTCCGTTCCTGACATCACTTTTAGAAGAACCCTTCATGGAATTTTTCATCGTCTCCCAGTTAGGATTACAGTGATTAGATCCCTGACTCCTTTTCACTCTCTTTTTACTGTCCTTCTTTTTCTGCTTCTCTGTGTTAATCCTGTCATAAATTCTCTTTAATTTTTTACTTTTCTTGTCCTTGGATTTTAGCTGATTAAATGTTTGACTTTGAGTCTCGATATTTTCCCTCACACTCCTCTCATCTATATCCTCCAACCCCTGTCTTTGTTTCTTCGGTTTGCCAGATTTTTCTCCTTTATACTGTAATCTCTCTGTTTCCAACCTTTCATAAATTCGTTTCAGCTTTTTATTTTTCTTCTTTTTTCCTTCTTCAAAAGATTTGTCTTTAAAAACTGCAAAACATGTAACTTTCTTTTACATTATGTAAAACATATTTATATATACATGTAGTTGACAATATATAGGAAAGGATATAAGCCTACACTAGCTGCAGATCTGTAGCTCTCCGAAAAAATATATATTGATAGACCAGAGAGCTACAGAGCCACCCATTGAAAAAAATGTATATTTTTTGCGCACAAAAAAATGCGCTGGGTTCTCGATTTATTTCTCCATGTTTTTAAATTGTAATCTCAAAATATTCCTAACCGTGTGCTCCTAACATATTCTTTGACTCTTTCCACCACAAAACATTCATCATAATTGTTGTTAATAGTCCTCCTGGCCCTGATATTGCAATCATCGGACATTTCGCTTATTTATACTGCCATTTTGGTTTCAAAGATAATTCGGTCTAATATGCTTCGTTCAGATGTCAACTACGAGAGAACTTGATAGAGGAGAGAGTAATTTTTTTAAATCTTCCATTTTTTGCAATTGAGGTAAGAATTTGGAAAAATTTTATCAAGAATCGAGCCCACTTTTTTGTGCGCAATAAATATACAGTTTTTTCAATGGGTGGCACTGTAGCTCTCCAGTCTATCAATATATATTTTTTCGGAGAGCTACAGATCTGCAGCTAAGCCTACACTAGTGGTTTAGTGTCTTTAAATTCTATACCTGGCTTTTCCATTCTGGTTTTCTTTGCCTTTTTCTTAAACGACTCGTCATCTGTAAAAATCACAAATATTAAAATCACAAGTAATGAAAAATAAAAAAAACACCTTTCTCTTTCCGGATGCATCATTTTATTAATGAACTTGGCTATTAAAGAACGTTAAACAAGTGTGTACTGCCAGTCCTACAATACTTGTTTGTGCTGTATGATTACATTCTTCTATAGATATACTTGTCAGTTGTGTTAAGACTGACATTCTACTAACCTTTATTAGCTTTTCTCTTTGTGGATTTGTTTACAGTTGAGAAGTCGTAACTGTGTACAAAGGGATAGCTGCACACCGAGTATCTGGCCATCCGCTCTTCCTCACACTCCTGCAAATACATTGGTACCACAGTTTAATTATCATGAGATTTAACTGCCATGCATTGATTGATTTGATTAACTATGGTTGATGTACAAAATAGAATTCATACATTATCGGTACTTCAAATAAGTTCTTACAAATCCAAAATGGCCCGCTTCTGCACAGTTATAGCAGTATTTCCTGGGATTCCTCTTATTTCTACCCCTCTGAGGACTATCAATATTGGTCTGAAAAAAATTACAAATGCTTGAAATGGAAAAGTTGATTTTAAAACATTACCTTTGCAAGTTTCACAAGGATGAAGAAATTTCGAAAATTAAAACCACTAACTTCTATATTTATTAAACTATACATGTTCATGTTTCATGGGGGAAAATGTCTTGAAAAAATGCTTACGAAAGTAATTGTAGAGGATAGTTAGTTTTTAGTAGCTAGAATTATGTACACCCTCTCTGATTTATCTCATATTTCCTGAAGAGTCCCCGCCCCCTTCCCCCCAAAAAGGGGGGGGGGTATATTTTTGCAGTTACTTTTGAATATATACTACTTCAAAATTATATTACTATAAAATTTACCAATTACTTCACAAATTAATGAAAGTCATCAATAAAGTAAAGCATCTCTCAGACTACTTACAGTTAAATGATACTGTCTCCATTGCTCTGGACAGGCCTGTAATAACAAATAAAGAAATATCAGAAGTATTATCTAACAAAAATTAATTCTAGAAAACAGAAAGTGTTAAAGGATAGTTAAATCTCTTTTTTATTGATCCAGTTATAAATTTATGACAGCAATCTAATACATAAAAATGTACTGGGAAGACAAATAAAAGATATCATTTTTTATTTTAATTAATATCATAAATGTTGAATGCCATGTAAATCATTATATGCAATGCCACAAATAAAAAAAAAAAAAGAAAAAGAAAAAATCAGACACAATTTCAAAACAGGCATAATACAGTAGTATTCAAAGTAAACACATACTTTATCAAATCTGTCTTGAAATTCAGAAATGTAAACATTTCAACTGAATTCAACATTTTGGATTTTCAAAGTGTTAACACAGACAGTTTCGAGATGAATTTCATATCCTGTTGACATAATTATTCAATCTTTCAACACAGCTGTCTGATTATATCCTATTAAATGTTCAGAATTTATGATTCAATGCTCAAATACTATATAGTAATATACTAACTCTCTGGCTGTGTCCCAAATTTATGATTTAATGCTCAAATTTACAATGGTCTCTATGTTTATAATACAGTGAAATATCAGTATCTCGAAGTTGAGGGGACCTGCTCAAAACTCGATCAGATATCCGGGGGTTCGAGATATCCAAAGTTATCTTCCAAAGTCGAATCAACGATGTCCCGTTTTTTCGTATATCTTCATGCGTAATACTATCCTGCGTTACAAAACATGCAGTCATTATGGTAAAGTCTCAGGCATATTCACAATAAATATTAAGAAAAACAATGCTGTTGTTTTCTTTATCGTGTATAATTGTAAAACAATTTAATATACAAGCCTTATTGCATATACCATGTATACAGCAAATTTACATTTTCCAGGCCATGCTTACGTGGTCAAACAGGATGTATCATTAGCGTTATAGTTGAAGAACCTTCTCCGTAAGAAATTCAGAAATGAAAAAGACAACATTTTTTAAAAACATAATTTGATGAAATTTAGTGCAAAATGTTTTTAAAAAAATAATCAGTATTCAAACTGTGTACTTGATCATGTTGATATTAATAGCTTGCATGTATAACATTACGAAGTACTACTAAGGAACACATAGTTTACGAAACTAACAATGCAAATGGCGGTCAAGGTTAGCTATCTATACGCAGATAAACATGAATGTAATCAATCACTGTGCATTATGCACTGCAACTTAACTGTTGGATTAATTAAGATTCCCCAAGTTTGAAGGTGTTAATTAATAGCCACTGGCGAGAGTGTGTACATGTACGACTCTCAGGTGTGTTCAGTAGACCGAAAAATTCACTGCACTTCGAGATAAGCCAGGTAAAAAAGGGCTTGGGACTTTCAATATACTTTGACAAAGCGGGGTCCGAGAAAACCATTCAGGAGATTAACGTGTTCGAGATATCAGGTGTTTTTTAAATCATATATAGTTTGAGAATAACGTGCACCCGACCACCGGCGATCGACTTCGACATAAGCGGGGTATTCGAGATATCCCATGTTCGAGATACTGATATTTACCTGTACTATATAGTAATACATGTATACATACTCTCTGGCTGTGTCCCTTCCTGCCGCAGCGGAAGCATGGATTCCACCTAGAGACAGTCCGTTCCTGGCAGTCTCTGGTCAGGTGACCTGGACAGTCACACCTATAACACGCCCATTATGACGCCCAACTGGACATGTAAAATTTCCCCTTTGTTCACAATATTTGTACAATTATTTCTGGGGCTAGAAAACCACACAGGATAGGGCTGACAACTTTCACTAGCAGTCAGCCCTGCATGTCTAGCTAATTTTATGATGAGTTTCAAACACTGCTATCTGTATCCATCAATGATTAGATTAACCATATCTCATTTGTCAAAGAAAATTGTAGAAGTGTCAATAGAAATACATGTGCATTTTGCTCTAAGTAATGCTGCTGTTGTTTTCCAGCTTGACACAAATACGTTGTCTAGTACAGCAACCATGTTCTAACTACAAGTGTGTCCATCTAAATTTAATCATACCAGTTAAAATGGAAATAAAAGAAATACATTAAATCAGATAACTTGAACTTCATATAATCCTACTTACACTTGGTTTGGGACATGAATTCGCCAAATGTCCATGCTGTTTACAATTGTGGCACTTGTCAAACTTATTTCCATAGTAACGGCTCTTTGCATGTTGTGGTACCATCCCATATTTATCAGCATCAATTATGAACCAACTTTTCTGATGGTGCTCTGAAAAGTATATGAAAAAATATAAAATCAAAGTTGCCCTAGCTCTAAGAGCAATTTTTATATTAGTTTTTGTATCAAGTACTATAAATATATTTCTTAAATCATCATTTTTTTTAAATACTTGAGTATATGAAGACCTACTAAAGTCATATTCAGATGAAAGTTTGTGTTGATGCTCTCTGTCAACATTTACATGTAATCCTTCCATATCTGAGAGTTCCTCATCTAAGAGCATATCATCACTGTATATGGAATCGTAACACATCTCCAGATCAGACTCTTTGTCACTATCACTGTCTGACAGCAGAATGACATTGGGATTCCCCACCCAGTCAATCTCGCGCTCACTGTCCGATTCGATCTCGATCACAGATTCCTTGGCACTACAGTGTTTACTCTGCTTGTCTTTATACAAAACCTCAGTCACTTTGGAGTTTTCTTCATTTTTACAATCCTCTGAATCTGTTTCAATAACCACTGAGGTCTCTGTTGAATTCAAACTCATCAAACTCTCCATTCCAATAGCGCTGTCTTGTGATTTACACAAATGATCAGATTTCCTATCCTTAACAGATGTTGACGAGACCTTGGATAAACGTTCACTTGGTTTATAAGTACAAGTACTGTTTGTGCTTTTGACATCAATATCATAACGTGCGGTGATGTTTGCCGAGCTGTTTGAATCTCCTGTTTGACTGTCATTATAGTTTTCAATATAAGAATTGTAATGAATTTGGGAATATAATGCATTTTCTATCTCTTCCAAATCAGATGATTCATTCTCTTCATCCTCAGACTCCATGTTTATCTCTTTTAAAAGAGAAGGATGTACTCATTAGATAAACACCAATAAAATATAACACATATTTATTAATGAGAAAATATACATATTTATCTTGAATTTATAACTGTATAGACAAAGTTTGGTTTGATTCGATAGTACAACATTTTGACATCTAAAAATTACATAAATATAGTACAGAACACGTCTATTTACTATTATAAAATGTATTTAAATAAATTAATCTAGTGCAAAACATATGCAAAGTAGAGGTTTAGTTAATTATATTAAATAAAAAGCCTTGAGTATTTACATTTGGAAAAACGGTTCAAATTAAAATTACGGGATAATTTTTAATCTAACAAATGAAATTCACAGGTAAATTTAGTCACAATAGACCTACCTTCACTGTCGACTGTTGAGTAAAATCTTTTGCAATGTGCTCGTCCAGGTGAAAACTTCTCTTGAAATCTCTCTAATTTTTATACATAATACAGTTGTCTTCAAACACAATGGTGATCTCAAGTTTTTTTTGTAGTCTTCGGGATTTTACCTGTTATTCTAATGGTAAAAATAGAGAACATTGATTCCGAATGTCTAATCAACCAAACGTTTGCTCTAACAGACGATGAATTAACAAATTCAATATCGTTATAGATAGAGACGAAATTCCTTTGATTTTGTTGCTAGCAACTGCCAGAAGTTCAATTCATTTTAGACGATTAAAATGACGCATTTGCAACTTAAAGAGGGAGAATATACATCGACAATATATTCTTTGGTATGTAATCTAATAAAAATTACCATCTTTCTAATTTTTTGTTATCCTCGACAAGTCATTTACCCTGTTTTTCAGGAAAAAGAGTTGACCATTTTTTCCACAATATTTTTATCATTTAGATAAAAGACCAACGATATAATGATGCAGTTCAACTTCTTAGTAGTCAAGTACAAGGACACACAAAGGTTAGTAATGATTAAAATGAGATGGAAGCGATAATGCCTTACATGTTTTTTAAAAAATATCTTGAATTGATAAAATTTTTTCAATAGTCCAATTCACACTTTGCAATAGTAATGTCCCTTTACGGGATCAACCAAAAGGTCAAAAGGAAAAGAAAAGACATTTCTGCTTTTTATCCTACCAAACATTGGGGCTCGCTCAATCCACTGTGTTTAATTTTTTTTCTTTCGATATCTTGGGGTATACAAGATGCACAGAATTTTTTCAGTCAGATGACAAAGTTATAAACCAGAAAACTATAAAGGCTACTGTGAGGATTCTATGGATTTTCTCCTAAAGATGCATGGTGCAGTGGTTAGAGTATCTGCTCTAGAGTCGCGATGTAAGGAGTTTATCCATAATTTGCAGATTTGACTCCCACTGTGGGACAAAGAGACCGGTCCTTTGAATAAGACTGTATAAATGAGGTCCCATGTCGCAATAGGTATTGGCACTGACAGGGTTCGACATTCGCGCTCGTCACCTCGTCATTTCCATCTAGAAATGATTTCGGACGACTTGATTTTCAGTCTGGCTCGCCCAAATGACGACCTGGGACAAGTTTGGAATGTTTAATAATGATTTTTAATATTTTAAAATAAACTTCATAAGGCCTTGAATACATATTTTTCTGTAACAAAACCAACCCATTCAACATGTTCTAAATTGCAGCCGCTTAAATTTTTCTTCCTGCCAAATCTGCGTTCGATAAATCAGATGATGCAATTTTACCAAAAGTCTTTAATAAAGTTTTATTTGAGATATAAAATATGTCAACTTAGTGACAACAATCACCTTAAATATAAAGAGTAATAATCATCATTGTGACATCTTGCATTTACCCTACAACTTTCTGATCATATGATGATCGTTTTCTGCTGCTAGACAGCCATGTTGGGTGTCCACTGTAATATAACACCTAGTTAATTCGGCCCAGGATTATTTGACCCCATAAATGTATTTAGGCCTTCATGGTAAGTTAAAATGAATGTTTTAAACTACAAACTTTAGCACTCTGCATGTCAGATTCAGCTTATATTTTTGTTTGATAAAATACTAAAAGCATGTCTGGTTTACATTTTTAATACAAAATTACAACTTCTGTTAATTATCTTAACAAATTTTAAACAATTGCACATTAAGTTTTGTTTCATTTGATATTTTATTTGGACGACCTGAAATTCATTCGGGCAACCTGTGATCATACCAAGGTTGCCCAAATGGCGAGACCAAATTTTGACGAGTGTCGGACCCTGCACTGAAAAGATCCCTCCCTGCTTAATGGCCCTGAGTGCTGATTATAGGACAAAATTTGCAGCTCTCCACCGGCAAGTGGTGGCATCTCCATATGAGTGAAAAATTCTTGAGAGGGACATGAAACAATATACAATCAATGAATCACTAAAGATTGTGGCAAAGGGACATAAACTTTTGAAAGTATGAATTCAAGTATTGAATTATTTTTACAAGCCTGAAGGAGACATTTATCATAAAGCAAAGTGAAAGAAACAATCACTATATCCTTAAAAGTTTGGCAGTGAAATGAAATACATGCTTTACAAATATGATATCTGATTCGTTGATTTCAGTCCAGAGCTGCATTGTCACTTCTTGGTTACTGCTACTTTCAAATGCAAGATTTTGTCAATGCTGCTGACTGTTATGAGGGACTGAGTATGATGCATCCAGAAATAGAGGATTACAAACTTTACTATGCTCAAGCCCTGTACAAAGCGTGTCTGTACACAGAGGCTATGAAAGTGGCCTGTCAGATTGATAATCCTCAGTATCAAAGTCAGGTAAGATAATCCTCAGTATCAAAGTCAGGTAAGATTGATAATCCTCAGTATCAAAGTCAGGTAAGATTGATAATCCTCAGTATCGAATTCAGGTAAGATTGATAATCCTCAGTATCAAAGTCAGGTAAGATTGATAAGCCTCAGTATTAATGTCAGGTAAGATTTATAATCCTCAGTATCAAAGTCAGGTAAGATTATTCCTCATTATCAAATTCAGGTAAGATTGATAATCCTCAGTATCAAAGTCAGGTAAGATTGATAATCCTCACAGTGATTGGGAAGGCAAAAATGGTCAATGGGACTATGGCGCAACTGTCAACATTTTTGATGGGCCATTTCGAAAATGAATGGGCCATCAATATAATCTGAAGGGCCATTTTACAAAATAACAAAGTGACAAACAAATACGAAAGAGAAAACACGTTTTTAATTAACCAAATCTGATTTCAAACACATGCAATGCAGCAGATTTAAAGGAACTTGCTTAGAATATAACTAACCGGTAATTTGTGTTAAAATTACGACAGTTTTGGAAAGGGAACAGCCCTACAATACAAATGAATGAAGTATTGTACCTAATGTAAGCGCTTCGTTTAACCGGAAGTACTTTTTGACGAGGTTCAACTAATGAGATTTGTTGTTTTAAATTGACTGCATTTAAAACGAAAGTAAAACAAGAAAGAAAGTCGTACGCAAAATATTTCCAAATAAATAAAATTAATTTCAAATAATATCACTAAAAATTGAATGCGCACCTTGGCGCCATGATTAATTGATTTAATGCGCCATTTTTTACTTCAATGCGACTATGGCGCGTGGCGCAAGCCCTTCCCAATCACTGTCCTCAGTATCAAAGTTAGGTAAGATTGATAAGCCGCAGTATCAAAGTCAGGTAAGATTGATAAGCCTCAGTATCAATGTCAGGTAAGACTGATAATCCTCAGTATCAAAGTCAGGTAAGATTATTCCTCATTATCAAATTCATGTAAGTTTGATAATCCCCAGTATCAATGTCAGGTAAGATTGATAATCATCAGTATCAAAGTCAGGTAAGATTGATAATCCTCAGTATCGAAGTTAGGTAAGATTGATTAGCCTCAGTATAAAAGTCAGGTAAGATTGATAAGCCTCAGTATCAAAGTCAGGTAAGATAATCCTCAGTATCAAAGTCAGGTAAGATAATCCTCAGTATCAAAGTCAGGTAAGATTGATAATCCTCAGTATCAAAGTCAGGTGAGATAATCCTCATTATCAAAGTCAGGTGAGATAATCCTCAGTATCAAAGTCAGGTATTAAAGATTGATAATCCTCAGTATCAAAGTCAGGTATTAAGGATTGATAATCCTCAGTATCAAAGTCAGGTGAGATAATCCTCATTATCAAAGTCAGGTAAGATAATCCTCAGTATCAAAGTCAGGTAAGATTGATAAGCCTCAGTATCAAAGTCAGGTGAGATAATCCTCATTATCAAAGTCAGGTGAGATAATCCTCAGTATCAAAGTCAGGTAAGATAATCCTCAGTATCAAAGTCAGGTAAGATTGATAAGCCTCAGTATCAAAGTCAGGTATGATTGATAATACTCAGTATCAAATTCAGGTGAGATGATCCTCAGTATCAAAGTCAGGTAAGATTGATTATCCTTAGTATCAAAATAATTTTTATATTCACATATTAACATTTAAGTAACTTATTTGTACTCTGACAATTTAAAAAAAAAAAATGTAATATTTGTTAACTGTTTCAATTTGATAATTTTAAGTTCCATAGTAAAATTAAAAGGGGAGATCCTGTAAGTATTGAATTAACTAAATGTTCTACATTTAAATTGTATTATTGAAGAATTTTTTTTAAAATGAATGTTATGTTTCATTTTCTTTGTTATGTGTTTATCAATCATTGATTTTTTTTTAAGTTTCAGTCACATTATAATGCGAATGACAAAGTAAAATTAGTATAAAAATTGATTGGAGGAATTTGTGATCACATTAATCAAGATATTTTCAATATAAACATATTTAATTGAAACAAAAAATAGCTTTTTTAGCATAACATTGGGAAATTGTATATAATTTACATTAAGCGATTGCTAAAAAATATTGAGTTATTGATAAATTTTTAAAGATGCTACTTAATTTTGTAGATAACCAAATTACAAGCTGCCATTAAATTTGGAGAGGAGGATTTACCAGGAGCTAAGGTTGGTAATTTTTGTATGACTTAATAAAAGCAAATTGATTTTCAAAAGATGAGTAGCAGATAAAAGACTATCTTTTATCTTATATCTCTATCGTATTATAGTGTTTTATGCTTGCTGTGAAATATATTTTTCATTTTATAACAACCAAGTGGACTCTTACATTTACAGAGTTTGGTAGAGCAGTGCCCATCAGATGATCCTGACACCGAGATTAACCTGGGCTGCCTCCTTTATAAGGTAATTCATGCGTATGATACACATACATTGAATCTGTGCAATTTTCTGTCTTTCTCCCTATTCCATCTCTAATATGAAAAAAATGGGCATCTAAATAGCATGTAAATGTATACATGTATATACATGTTGTATATTGGTTTAATTGACACAAGTCCTTAGAAACTATAATTCTCTTGTTTTCGATTGCATAAGGATTAAGGACCCTTTATAAGTTCACAATGAAAAGTTTTGATTCTGTGTTAATTTTTATGCAGTTAGAATAGTCTGCCCATAGACTTGAAAAAAAATAAAAAGTTGCAGTGTACTATTTAATTTGCAATCGATTTAAGTATTCATAATATTTTAATAGACCGAGAAAAATTAATAAAACAATTTATTTTGCATGTCTTTTCCCCATTTAAAAAACATCAACACTATTGTTTTTCAACGCTTTTCATGAGTCTGGAGTAAAATAGAATTCCACGATCCTTTGCCAAATTTGAAATAGAGCAACTCAGTATTTACACCTCTTTACATCTTAATTTTCTTAATGTCCTATATTTTTTTTCTTTAAAAAGCAAATTGTCCTTAAAGTTCTACTTTGATAAATAATACATGCATGTAAGGAAGACTATAGAATAAAATAAATTTAATTATTTTAAGTTTAATCAATTCTAAATATTTAAGATAATAAGAGTTATTTATTTTGTATGATTAGGACAAGATGTATGAGGAGGCCTGTCAGAAGTTTACCACAGCCATGCAGATCCTGGGCTACCAGCCCCAGCTGTCCTATAACATTGCTCTGTGTCACTACCAGATGAAGCAGTATGCCCCCGCCCTGAAACACATCGCAGACATCATAGAGAGGGGTATCAGGGAGCACCCAGGTTAGTGATGCCATATTAACACTGATCAATGGAACTGACAGTTCTTGTATTTTGTATCTTTGAATTTTTTAAAAATGGAACTGTACTGAGAATTTTCTACAAGAAAAAAAATTAATTCCATCTGTTATATATGATACTCAAGTAAGGAAATTTTTCTAAATTATGGAACATATTTAATCATTCATAATCTTTGCCTCTATGCATCTATGTGTGTTTTATAATTATCAAAATGACATGCTGGACTTTGGATTATTTTTGTAGAACTGAGTGTGGGGATGACGACGGAGGGGATAGACGTCCGGAGTGTGGGTAACACCCTGACTCTACACGAGACTGCTCTGGTGGAGGCATTCAATCTCAAGGCTGCCATCGAATACCAACTCAAAAACTGTAAGTTCCCTTTCATTATAAACTTCAATATCTTTTATTTACTGGTACTTAAAACAAACTGGTCCAAATCTAAAATAAATACTTTTTTGTCCTAAAGCTTCTCCTACCATTTAATCTTGATATAATGTGATGTTTATAACATTAGTGTGTCATTACATTCTGTGTTGTGCTTACAGAGAGGGTTAAGGGTGTAGTTGTAAATTGAATATACGTAACACGTTAATAGAACATTTGTATGACTTAAGCTTTAGTGTTTTGTTAATGACCTAGTAATCTGGATTACAGATTATGGCTCCACTGATTGTAAGTTAACAGACCTAGTTCAGTGAAGTCTTTGGCTGTTCTAATACTTCAAGCAATCAGCTGTTTAGATGTGTACATTCAGATCATACTTTGCTAGAGACATCACTTAATATTAATGACTACATATGGGTTTATCTTGATTTGGAGTCCCTTTAAAAGATGCTTTGTGGTAAATATTTGCATTTTGGTATTTCTGACTTGAAAAAAAATTAGTTTCAAATGTTTTGAGGAAGAATATTTGTCAATATATCGTGTGAAGTGGAGCTGATCTATCTGTTGCGTACTCATCACATTCAATCTGTCATGTGAAGAGGGGAATTGTGGGACTTTATGAGTTGCTTATATTTTGATAATTTCTTCCACAGAATGTTATTTATCCAGACATCTTCATAAAACATTGCATTCAAATCTTTATCTTCATTTTATTTTAAGACTGAAAGCAATAAAAAAATATTTCTAATACTTGTACTACTGTTTTAGCTAGTAGTAATTAAAAAATCATCAACTGTATGTTTGTGTTTAAAGTCTTAGAATGTAGACTGTAACATCTGTCATTTACCACAATAACCAAAATAAACTGAATGTCTTCAATGCATTTATCTCATATCAAATATTAGCCTGAAAATATGTAATTTTTTTAATATCAAATATCAAAAATTTTCAAGACTGAAAAATAATAAAAATGTTTGACTGTATATGTTAGAGTTTCAAATATTCAACCATCTATATTTTTTCTTAAAAGCTTCTATGCCACATTTTATGTTTATTTATCGTTTTGTTTTCAGTTGATGCTGCCTGTGAGGCCCTGACTGACATGCCCCCCAGGGCTGAGGAGGAACTGGATGCCGTGACCCTCCATAACCAAGCTCTGATGAACATGGAGCAGCACCCCACCCAGGGATTCGAGAAGCTGCAGTTCCTTCTCCAGCAAAATCCATTTCCCCCTGAGACATTTGGCAATCTGTTGTTACTCTATGTCAAATACGAGGTAAACAAACTTTAAAAATTATAATATATGATGAAATCTTTTATGGAGTGGACACATCATATTGCTTTGAAAAATTATGCTTAACACAAGTAGTTGTACTGTACATGTAATGTGATTAAATTAGAACAAAAAGAAAGAGTTCCAGAAAAAATGTTAAATGTATAAATGAATATAAATTTTTTTGACTTGAAATAAATGTTTAAGATAATTTAAAGAAAAATATTAAAATTTGCATTTTCCCTTGTGTTTTCAGTATTTTGATTTGGCTGCAGATGTTCTTGCTGAGAATTCTCACCTGACATTCAAATTTTTGACTCCAGTAAGTAAACACAAACATAGGCACTTATGTTTTTCAAATATATAAATAAGATGTACAATTTTTTTTATCATACAGTCAGTTGTACAAGCTGACAGGAATGTTTTCTGGTACATCAGTAATTGAGGTGTGATACTTTAATGTGTTTTAATACTATTTATTTCAGTACCTGTACGACTTTCTGGAGGCTGTGATTACCAGCCAAACCTCTAAAGAAGAGGCCTACAGAAAACTGGAGGAGATGGCAAAGAATCAGACAGAGACGCTCAGTAAACTCACTAAACAGGTACTGTCTATCCTCGGGCTCATCTCACTGAGTACAGTCATAAAGTGTAAAAGTTTATTCTGAGTTAATTGATGACGTCTACTTGCTTGGAATCAGTTTACTTTCTACTGATAAAAGTAGTCTTCACTCTTTGAAAGGAAATAAATAGCATCAAGTTTTCTTTATGCAAAGGCCAGGGATTTATCATGTTTGTTTGGAAAGTGTTATTTTTCAAAAAATAAGATGTGTACACACTTCTGAGCAGGATGTTCTATGTGACAGTCCACTGTTCATTCATTCACTTGTTTTCTTTTGACAATATGTGATGCATGAAACACCTGTCTTTGCATCATGTGATTTCAATCACAGCAGCAGCATGATCAAATCCCTCCTTGCGTCTATTGAAAGTAAACCAATAAAAATTAATCAAAATTAAAATTGCTGTAAGGAATTATACGAAGTGCATTCAGTAGCTTTAAGTATTGACAGAGAGGACTATTTTGATAGGTTCAGTCCAATTTAGGACAACTCTGGGAGGTAAAACTATACTGCCGTGAAGCACAACTACTGCATTCAGTATTTCTGTTCAGAAATGTGTGAAAAATTGATTTGCTAGCAAAACATTAATTGAAAATAAAGATATTTGAATTGTAATATTTTATAAGGCGGCAAGCTTTTATCAGATGATGTATTGACAAGTGATTGAAATCTATGATGAGTTAGCAATCTTAAGGCACGACTTTGCAGTGAATGTCTATATAAACTGATATACATAATGTACTTACACAATCACGCTATATGCAAATGTCAGAATCTCTGTGATCTACTAGTATATCATGAATGTAAAATTGAGATTGAAAAAAAAATTTAATATGTTTTAAATGCTTGATAAACAATAAGTTTCCTGAGTTAAAATTTCACAATATTTTCACCACAGTGACCACTGAATCACTGACTGTTGAAGCACACATGGCCACAACTGAGTCACAGATATATGACCAATTAACACAAGATTTGTCATGTGATATATTTTCAAAATCAAAGGTTTCTCAGATTAAAATATCTTTCTAATGAGTTTTTTTAAAAAAAATCTTATGTATAACCTGTAAATCGGTAAACAAGATGCAGATTCAATTGTTACTATAGGTATAAAATTCAGAAAAAAACCTTTCAGTTTTAATTGTTTAATAACCATTTAAATAATGAAATGACATTTAGTTTTGAGATGAATTATCAAGGCAAAAGGAAATTATCTTCTTTAAATGAAGAATTAGGTTCATTGCATTCCTTCCTAGTTTTTGGTTTTTATATTGATTATCATGCTTTGTTATAATAAATAAATGCTTGATTGTGAAGTGAGTGGTTATTCATGTTTAAGGTCCAGGAGGCTCGGCAAAACCATGACGATGAAGCGGTCAAGAGAGCGGTCAACGAATATGATGAGGCCCTAGAGAGGTTAGTGTCGTATTTCATCTGGTGTTATATTCTGTCAGATTGTGAAGAATGATTTAAGTATGCATGTAGATGTTTTGTAAAATGAAATAGACATTGAAAATGAAATCTTTAGACAAAATATCGTGAATTTTGAGAAAGATACAGAAAAGTTTCATGCATGCAGATTGAAAATTTGGGAAGGGAGGTTTTGACCAAATTAAGCTTTTATTGATCTTATGATTAAAAATTGTTCACTGCCCATGCATTTCCTATTATGTACAGATCTGACTTTCATCTGTTGTTGTTACTTTTGAAATGTATGGTTATAATACCCCCCCGCAATTGTCACCTTGTCCGTCACTGCAATCCCATGCATTTTCCTATTACATCCACACAAAGATTGCCCATGACAGGGTGTGTCATGACCTTGACCCAACTTTCAAGGTCACTGTTGTTGTTATCTTGATAAAGTTGGTAGGTTCTCCTTTCACACAAAGAAATGGCCCATGGGTGTGTATGACCTTGACTGAAGGTCATTTGGGGAACAAGGTCACTGGAAGAAAAATTATATAATTAAAACCTCATTTCACACAAAGATTAACCAAAATTACAAAAAAAGAGAGAAATGTCCTGTCCATATATGGATAAACTTGTGGTTCATTTCACACAAAGATTGCCCATGATCCAGGGGTGTGTCATGACCTTGACCCAAAATCATTTGGGGAAGTTCAAGGTCACTGGAAGAAAAATTTCATAATTCATGTTTGATACATATCTTTATAAGGAAAAACTTACTTCTGAAAAACCCAGCGGGGGGTATTTTGTCCCGTTTGGACAGTTCTAGTTATAACTTAAATTATATAATTAAACCTACCAAAGTAACCAAAATTACAAAAAAAGAGAGAAATATCATAAAACTGTGTTCTAGCTAAGTGACCCCAGGGTAGAGTTAGGTCACATTTGTACAAGTACTCACTCAGTCAGTTTGTTGGTTTAATACATAGGAGAAGAGAAGATGATTTTTAACAGAGTAATAAATTTTCAGATTATAAATAGATTCTGAACCCTCCATGTATCCTAACACCAGAACCACAAGACCCAGGGTTAATGAATATTACAAATTTGGGAGAGAAAAACTCACTTATCATCACTGCATTAAATTTATCTGCTAAAATCCAAGAAGCTGTGAAAAAAATGTTTAAAGAAATAATGCATGTTAACTCTATAATCATTACCTTATAATCAATAGAGTCCAATCCTAACACCAAAACCCATAACAGGGACTATAAAATTCACAATTTTGGAATAAATACCCTTGCTCATCGTAACCATGCACATAGCTTCTCTGCTTAGTACACAGGAGCAAAGAAGAATTTTTAAAAAAAAAATAGGGTAAATAAGGCATTTAATTTACTCTATATAATCAATAGATGCCATCAGTTGGACTGTTTGATGTACAGAAAGACTTTAAGGAACAAAGAAATAGAATTTCCTTCTCCATAACTGTGCATGAAAGGCCCATATTGTCATATGGACCCATCAGGATCCATCAGAATAAGGAAAGGGTCATGATAGCACGGGGGGGGGGGGGGGGGGGAGCAAAATTTTCAAAGGAAATATAAAGAATAAGAATTTAAAGAAAAGAAAAGCTTAAGTTATCCAGGTGAGTATTGTGGTTGATAAGCTTTTTCTCTATAGCTGTGCACTTTAAGAAAGCGCAACATGTACAGAAGGTGCTGCAAGTTCTCTGAATTTAAAGGAAAAATGATGACTGAATTCTACAGTAACTGTTTATTGCTAACATAAAATACAAAAATCCAATTATGGTTAGAGAAAATAAGATACCATCGTACTTTTAATTTGTTATGGGCAGAAAATTTCTAGATAAGGAGCCAATCCTAAACTGTAGTGTTCCTCCCACCACAAGTGCCAGAGATCCAGGGGAGATAACTTCCATGGACTGACGTGTCTCTGTTTATCTGTCCCCATGTCGTAAGCCTGTGGTGACAGTTTGCCGTCCGCTGACGTGTATATGTTTATCCCTCCCCTCTTTTGTGGCTAATCAAGCTGAGATGGGGAGCCTACTGCTCACTGGCCTGTGTTATCAATAATCCAGCCACAGTGACAGGAGGAAGCTGCATGTAGAATCAGTATTGATTCACTTATAACTACATTGGACCTTGTCCAATTCCTCATTCATGTGAAGTCAGGGGAACATGGTTTCAGCTCAAATATTCCGCCTTTTTTCATAGAAATAAATAAGTCATCTGGGAAATTAACTGCATATATCATTGAAACTGTAAATCAATGAAAGCATTTTATTATATACACAACTGAATTCTGAAATGGAAAACTTGTTAACAAATATAATAGCCAAAATTGGATAAGTGTAGGAAATTAAAAATTTTAGGATTTCAAATTATATGGTAGAGAGAACTCCCATCTTGTGTTGAGCCTCTAGTAGTACTTTACTTGTTAGCATAACTGGTGTACATTATTCTTTGATTTGGCTTTTAACCCCCCCCCCCCCCCCCCCAATTTGTTTGCAGAAATTGTAACTATGAATTACTATTATTTTGTAATTTAACATATGCATGCATATAATATGCTTTGACTTCCTATAGTTATACAAAGTTAAAACAGACCCCATATTAACTGTTACTCTGGCCTGAAGCTATTAACTTTATCTTGATGAAGAAGGATGACACGTTAAGTGAAAACGGATACCGATATGACGCCTTCATCAAGAATATCATGCAAAGACCTTCTCCGTATTCTCAAGGTTGTAGCGTATCTTGTAAATGAAGTAATTAAGGGAAACTCCAGTCATGAAACAAGTTAATATGAAAATGATCAAGATTGATCCATGCCGTCATTTTATGACTTTATATTGATTTAGAAAAGGAGAATAATTATTATGCAGATTTTTTGCAGTTTAAAGCAAAAAATCATTAGGTTTTGCAGTCAAAAATCCAATTTATTTTTTAACATTTTCATATTATTGTCAAAAACACTTTGATTTAAAGCAATTCTATTAAAAAAAGGCCATTTTAACGATTAGCAGGTTTTGCAAAAAAAAACTCTTTATTTATATTTTGCTTACAAAGATAAAAAATCACATTTATTTTTTAACATTTTCTAGAAATATTTTAATATTGTCACAAACACTTTGATTTAAAAATGCAAAAATCGGGTAGCGGAGCAGGTCAAAATTTGATGAGTTACGGATAATACACTATATAATGCCTGTAGGGACATTCTCAGTAAAATGGAGCAAAAACAAAAAACAACAATTAATTGGCTCAAAAAAAAATATAAAATGATACGACCCTAGCTAGAAACGTACCATTTATAATTGGCATAAGAAATTTGCAAATTATGCGAAAACTTATTGGCGTTTTTTATTGATTTATTTATATTTTGCTTACAAAGATACAGTTTGGATATTATTATCTTAAAAAATAAATTTCAAGTATGAAAAAAACATTAAACGTTGTGCCAAACTATGTTTTGACGTTACATTGCCAGTGTGCGGTTACAAAACCTGTTGATTTTAAAATGATGTAAATTGATTTCTGTTAAATCGAATGGAATGAATCCTCACACATCAACAAAACAAATAGTTTTACATTTTATATTGTGCTTAGTTTAAATTTCATAAAAAATGTTAGGAGTTCCAATGAATTTGATTTTTTCAGTCACACAATTTGTGAGAAAATTATTTTTAAAAACTACCAGGAAGACAAAAAATGATGAAAAACGAACAAAGAATGAAGACAAATACATTGGCCGTTTTAATGCAAGGTGTTGTGTGCTGTATTGGGGTTTTACCAGGTCATCTATACCCCCCCTCCCCTCCTTCAGTCAAAAAATCCTTATGGAGAGAAATATGTATTTAGTTTGAAGGGATATTTTATCATCAATTTCAATATGCAGGTACATACCAGTGTTGATGCAACAAGCCAAGATATACTGGGACATGGAAAATTATCCCCACTTGGAAAAAATTTTCCGCAAGTCTGTGGAATTCTGTAATGAACACGATGTTTGGAAGCTGAACGTTGCGCATGTGCTGTTCATGCAGGAAAATAAATACAAGGAGGCGGCAGGGTTTTATGAACCTATCGTCAAGAAGAACTACGATAATGTAAGCCGCATCAAAATACAGTTTTTTGAACAGAATCCAAAAAATGCACCTTGACTAATGAAGCTATAAAAGGCATAATTGTACGATTGAGCTAAAAAAAAATAACAATACGAGATATGCACAAAGATATACATGATATATGTTATTTACGTTCAAATTAACATTTCAGTAATCTATATCTTGAATAACCTCACGTTTCTATATAATTAAATAGACTGTATATTTCTTTTCTTTTAAATAAATCGGTTATTCTTTTAAATCTTTGATATCTTTGAAACGCGAATGATTTAGATTGTGCAATTTTCTGAAACGTCCTAGATTTTTTTTTATTTTTTGGATATCCGAGATTACTAGTATCAAAAATTATAAGTTTATAACACAGAGTGCCTGGTTTCGTTTCAGATACTGAGCGTCAGCGCTATCGTTCTAGCCAATCTCTGCGTCTCCTACATCATGACCAGCCAGAATGAGGAGGTGTGTAGACTCACGTTTTAGTCCTGATTTAATATACAGTATTAAAAAAATAAGTCAACATGAGTTAAATATATTTGTAGTGTATATACACGTCTAACTTTCTCATTTCTGGTAACCTTAAGAACGGGGTCTTAATATTTGAGTTTAATAAACTCTATTGAAGGTGCTGTTTTTTAAGTAAGAAAAATCGAATACTGAGATATGTTATACATGCACCCGTAATTCTTTTCCATCACTGATATATTGACTTAAATTCTTAAATCTGTTTTTTGGGGGTGGAGGGCTGTCTGATTCGTATTTAAATGACATTCTCTTGCTTTCAATTTTGTTTAAACATGAGCTAGGGCAAAAAAGTTTTTGCACTAATTTCACGATCGTAAAAGGAAAATCTATTTTGTGTAATCTGATAATTCTAGTTTGAGTGTCATCAGTACAAATTTGGATGTTTCTATCCACTGCCTAAGGCACTGAAAAATAAATGTCAAATACTAATAGTCAGACTGCAATAAATGATCGCCACAAATGTCACTTTCATGCAGGGAGTACGGAATGTTCATTTTAATTTGGATACAAAATGGAATTTGCAGTTCATTTGAACCGAGGATGGTTTTTCCTTTCCACAGGAAGCAATTTATTTTCCAATACTTAGCTGTGTACTTTGTTAGATTTTATTCCTATGGACGTGTAACAGTGATGTTTAATGTTTAGGCTGAGGAGCTGATGAGGAAGATAGAGAAGGAAGAGGAACAGCTGTCATATGACGACTCAGAGAAGAAGATCTACCATCTCTGTATTGTTAATCTAGTCATAGGGTACGTACGCACCCCGCAAGCATCTTAATGCATTTACCTGTCCATATCAAGGTGATAAATGATCGCCCGTTATAATAAGGGGTACTAACTTGCTAGTTTTCCAAGACATCCAACTTTTACAAGTTGAAAGTCTAAATAAACAAGATTTAAATCTGCTTCACTTCATTCCACAGGACTTTATATTGCGCCAAGGGTAACTATGAGTTTGGAATTTCCCGCGTAATCAAGTCTTTGGAGCCTTACAATAAAAAGCTAGGAACGGATACATGGTATTACGCCAAACGCTGCTTCCTTTCTCTGATAGAGAATATGGCCAAGCACATGATCATGATGAAAGACCAGGTCGTACAGGAGTGTATTCAGTTCCTGGAGTGTTGTGAGAGTAAGTCAGGGGTCATAAGATATAAATTCTATATTTGTAAAAAGTACCTTTATCATAAACAGACTGCTTTTGTTTAAACAAAAATCTTGAAAACCTTGAATCATTTTTATCTTGCACTATAAAATCCAAAAAGATTGCGGGCTATATTTTCTGTCTCGTAGTTTATTTAGATAAAGCTCTGGATTTTTTGTATTCATTATTTAGTGTATGGAAAGGACGTAAAAGCCTTGATCGAACAGCCATTGGAAGCCGAACCAATGCATCCTGGGAAGAATACTGTGACGTACGAAGCTCGACTACTGAAAAGTTTATTGCTGCAGCTGATCTAAGTCAGTTTTGCGTTTTTAGAGCTTAGATCTCTGGAGAACAATGATATATTTATATGCATTCTCCCGACGAGTGAAATTCAATAAATGCTTTGTTACGAAACCAGCTTAAGTGTTTGTTATTTATTGCATTTTGGTTTCTGGCGTAAAAAAAATCAGCAAGTTTAAGAAAAGCAATCGTTGAAAACTTTTATTTGGAATGTTGACTTTTGATATATATACCTGACATGTTTGAGGAAACAATTTTACAAGTTTTGCTAATCTAAGAAATATCCAGGACAAATACTCTAACTTCTCTTAACTAAGTTCACAATCATACACTATATAAAAAAGACATTTGACAGACTGTATAAAAGTACATTGCAGGCTGCCTATTACATCTTATCACAGTTACAGAATGGTACATTTTCTACTCTCCGCCCACGGATTCTTCTTTTTATCGGGCGTGACTACCAGCCCGTCTTCTGGCATTTTCTCGTCTATAAACTCAGTCAGTCTACAACATATAAAAAGTCTAAAGCTTTATAACAAGATATAGTTTTTTTTATACATATATAATGTACAAAATTACATTATTTCGATAGCGTAAGTAATCCGTTTCTCTTGGAGTGGAAGCATAGTTTAATATGGGAATGTAACTGAAAGGCATTAGCAAAGAAAATGCAACACTTTAATGAAGAAAGTTGTAGATTTTTAAAACAATTGAGGTGATTTGTATCTTAGAAATATTCAGTGATTCCTTTTATACTCCTAAATATACAAAGTAAATTAATAAGACATTTCCTGAAGGTCAACGGAGGATCGGACCTTTTGTAACCAGATGTTTTGTTTGTTTTTTTTAGATTGATTTCTTTCATTATATGGAAGTGATTACTGTGAAGTGCATGCCATCTGGTAAGGCTGTTTCATTAGAACAATTGTCCATTAAATAAATATGATAATGTGCAGACTAATAACAGAAAAAGCTACCGAACGCAGAGATAATTCTTTATACACAAAAGAATCACGTTTTCACAAAAGTACCCCCTCGATCCCCCTCTTTTCCAACACCACCACCACCATCAAAGAAATCTATATAGATAATACATTGAATTAAAGTTTTTTTTATTACATATACACTAAAAAGATCAAAGAAACGCATGAGTAAATATGAAAGGTTAACATTTATTACAATGTTGCACAATGTTAGTCAAATACAATTTGAAATACGGAATATCAACTATTATCATCTTTTATCTGCGATTCGCCAGTTTGAAATCAATCAGCAAAGTTTAATTTTTGCGACAGGTCAATAAACATTGCAAAATAAATCGTAAAAAATGCGATAATTAAAATTTTCAAGTGAAGGATATGGAGATATCGAAAAGTATTCAATGTCAAAGTCCAAAAACAATAAAAATAGGAGCAGAGCAAACGCGGACCTCCGAAACATCAGAGGTGGAATCAGGTGCCATGGAGGAGTGAACATCCCCTGCTGACCGGTCACACCCGCCGTGTGCTCATTTTCATGATCGTGAAATAACAGAAAAATCCATCGTCAATTCAGTGTATAAATAATAGACTAACAATTAGTATGGGAAAAAAAAACGTCAGTCAGCATTTGACTCAATGATAAATTGTATTTGCTGATAAGGTCATTGTATCGACCATAGAACTTAAGAAATGATGACTTTAAACAAGACAGCTGATATTCTTGTTTCATCAACTTGTTTGCCAATAATTTACCTCGTTTTAGATATTGTTCACACGTAGAGCATGCTCTTGCGTATCGTATCAACTGAGATATATATACTCCGTATGCAGGTGATGAAGTTGACGATAGAAAAGTTTAAGTCATCAGTATAGAAGGTCGCAAAAACTTCTGCTACTTTTTAACCTCTACTTTATATTTTATCCTGCAACTACCCCTTGCATTGACCTAATAAAGGTAACCTAATAAAGCAAAGCTTTATCCGGTCACTGCCCTAATAAAGCCTCGTGCATGCATTCCGACGTTCTAAAAGCATTGTGACGTCATGCATATTGCAATGTTTACGCCATGGCGTCATAGTTTTAACTGCAGATATGTGCCTAAATCTGTCGAAAATAGCTAGTTTTGGACGTTCAAAAGTAAGAAATATGTTGCAGGATAAACAAAATACGTGATAACTGTCTTGAAATATAAGCGATATTTGGGCTCGGGTCGAAAACGTAAGAGGGCTCGGCAAGCCTCGCCCTCTATCACGTTTTCTTACCCTCGCCCAAATATCGCTTGTATTTCAAGACAGTAACCATGTATTATAGCGAGCGCAGCGAGGCGGCGCGAAGCGCCGCTCGCATAGCGAGCTCTTAAAGCAACGCCTGTGCGAAGAGAAAATTCGGACTTCTGCACATTCATTCGATAGAATTCTTTGATGCCGTAATTTGGACCCACAATACATCACTTGTTTTAGCTACGTTCTCGCGAGAATCACGGCAAATGTTCAACAAAAAGTTTACTCGCCTTGATTTAATGGATATATATTGAAGATAAATAGAGAATAAAACGTTCTTCATTAACTTTCAGCACTGTTCAGGGTTTTTCTCGGTATGTTGCAACTTGCATACGTCATGTGACGTCAGAGTCTAGACGCACCGAATGTCACGTGCGGTTTGACGAGCCCGATCTAAATCAAAACAATAGAAGAGTTTGCGCTCGCTCTAACGGTCGCACCGTCAACATATTATATATACACTATTTATAGTTTGTTTGCATGAATAAAATCAATAAATTCAAATTAAACTATCAGCTAATTAATATCTATATTTGTTATAAGTCAATCAAAAATTTGTACTTTACTCTCGTGTTAAAGAAAAAAAAGCACTCGATTGCAATACAATACGTTTGCACGTATTCAAGTACCTAATTTTAAAAATGAGTACATGTATTAAATATATTTATCATAAGATTGACAAATCATTAATAGTTTATCAATAGAAAATGAATCCAGTGAAATAAATTGGAAATGCTGTCAAATCTGCATGATGTGGAGAGGGATATTGCGTTTTTATTGTATCAAAATTGGCTAACACTGACTAAGCACGCTCAGTGAAATGAATTAAGTTGAAGATTTGGGTTGTGTCAATTTCCAGTTTGTTGAACGCAATTTAATTGTACGTATAACAACGCATTTCCCGAAGAATTCGTACAAAAACATCAAATGACCTACTAATTGACTGAACGCGATGATCTGTGATTATGATAACAATCTAATTACATAGTTTTCAGATTTTAATCGCGATTTTAGGTTTAAGGTTAATTGGCATTCTAGTTTATTTGATTTCAATGCCAGAAAGAGGCTACTGTTTCGAGAATTGAAAAGAACATTTGGATCAAGCTTAAGAGCAAATCTAATATCCAAGCAGGAACTCTCTAAAACTTTACAAAGATTCTTGACCGTGTAATAAAGAGTTGAACAGTTTGCAATTTTATAATTATTGTTATTTATCAGTAACATATTACTTTTATATTGAATGTGGAGATAGCAAGCTCAAGCTTCAAGTCCTTTAAAGAATACAAATCGAGTGCAGAGCAAAGTAACACGTACGAACCTCTGAAAACATCAGAGGTAGGATCAGGTGCAGTGAGAAAGTGAGTATCCCCCTGTCGACTGGTCACACCCGTCGTGTGCTCCTTGTCATGATCGGGTACGTGTAATTGTAAAAAAAAAATCAGAGTCTAAACAATTGCCTGCAAATTAGTATGAAAATGGTCAATCAGCATTTTACCTAGTGATAGACTGTATTTGCTAATGAGGTCATTGTATCGACCATAGAACTTACGAAATGATGACTTTTAACGACTGTTGATATCCTTGTTTCGTCAATTTGTTGGTTAATACATTGTAACTTGCCTCATTTAACAAAACGATCATACGTGAACATGTTCAACTGGGAGACATAAACCCCATATACAGGTGATAAAGATATTGCTACATAAGTATAGGAAGCCGACGAAAGAAAATTATAAGTCATCACGTTTAAATCATAATTTTGTTGTTTTATTAAAAATGCCATTGACTTTGTTTTCTGCTTACTTTTTCAAATATGGGACAGAAGTGTCAGATTTTGTGGTGTCTTTTATTTCAAGCTCAGTGGGATCAACATATGAATGGAAATATCCATTGTTAATTTACAATACGGCATCGATATATCTAAATGTGAAGTTGAAGGCCACAGCAAGTGTCTTCTTCTCTCTTCTCATGAAGAAGTGCCTGAACAACTTCTGCTTCGTATAAATTCAATAAATAGGTCTGCTTATAACATTGTGCAATTGATATCCAATGAGAATTCCAACAACTGTTTGAAAGACCTGATCTCCAAAAACGACATAATTTTTACCAACCAGAAACTCAAGCATCTTTTTAATTTCAAATTCAGAATACTTGTGTGTACAATATTTTTTTTCTTCTTTTTCTTAAAAAGAAAATGAAATTAGCATATGATTATTAACAAGGTACTTTAGCATGTTTAAGTTTAATATAAATATGAGGTCCTTTTTTAAGATAAAAAGAAGCTATTACAGTATCTATAATGTCAAAAAAGCTTCAAAGTTGGACTTAATTCACCTAGGGGAATGTTTAAACTTTGTATAAAGTTTGAAAAGTCATAAGTTTAGATATTATCAATTCTAGTAAAAGTTTGTGATTTCGACTTTGTTTTTTTTAAAGTTCGTAGGATATTTTAAGTATTTACATCTGATTTACACCACTTCTCGAATATATTAATGTACAGTATTCCAGAAGATTCTTATTGACTACTATTAACTGTAACGCCATTATTTACACAATCAATTGTCGACGAATTTTTCTGTTATTTCCCAGTCAAAGGAATACAAGACGGGTGTGACCTGTCGACAGGGGATGTTTACTCCTACAAGTCATCTGATCCCACCTCTGATGGTTTTTTTTTTTAAATGTTTGTTCTGCTCTCCAATCTCATTTTTCTAAAGACATATTAGCTTATTTATGTACTAGTAGTTTTCCTTTATATTTCATGGTATAATCTTCATTGATGTCATAAAATCTCTAACCATGATAACCATGAGCTTCCACATACGGACTGTTTTTTTTTTAAATGTATCTGAGC